CGCAGGGGTTCCTCCTGGCTCTTCGCTCAGGAATTACCCCTGACGGTGCTCCGGGGACCCTATGGGATGCCGGGGATCGAACCTGGGTCGGCTGCGTGTAAGGCAGATGCCCTACCCGCTGTGCTATTGCTCCAGCCCCAAAAGTAGCTGTCTTTTAAGGGTATTTCCTTCCCCTTTGTGATTTTTAAATCATGAATTACAGAGTTATCAACTTACTAAATTCCAGGCGTGCAGTGTACCAGTCCCTTGACCAGTGTCCGTGTTCCTCCACCTGTGTCCCCAATTTCCTTTCTGCTCTTCAGCCTGGCTCTAGAGCAGGCACTTCTCCCCTCCCTGCTTGTCCTAGTGTTTCTCTCTCTTCTCTCTCCTCTCTCTCTCTCTCTCTCTCTCTCTCCTTCTCTACCTCTCTCTTCTCCCTCTCCTCCCTTCTCCCTCTCCTCTCCCCTCCCCTCCCCTCCCTCCCCCTCCCCTCCCCTCTCCTCTCCTCTCTCTTTCTCTCATTATTCCTGGCTCTGCACTCAGGAATTATTCCTGGGGGTGTTTGGGGGACCAGATGGGATTGGGATGCAGGTAAATGAAACTGGGGGGGGGGGGAGTTGGATTGGAAGCTACTCCAAGGTTAGTGCTCTGGGTCTCTTCTGGTAGTGTTCTGGTAGGCCTACACGTGTACCCGGTCCTTTGAGTTATCCAGTGGCAGATAAATGGTACTAAATACTTAAAACTGCATACAGTTAGGTGCTCACAAATGTAACTGTTAGGGACTGGAGCGACAGCACAGCAGTTTGCCTTGCATGCAGCCAACCCGGGTGTTGATTCCAGGCTTTCCATATAGTTCCCCAAGCACCACCAGGAGTAATTCCTGAGTGCATGAGCCAGAAGTAACCCCTGTGCTTCCCCGGGTGTGACCCAAAAAGAAAAAACAAACCAAAAAACCGAATGTAACTGTTATAAAATAACAGCACACTTTGTGTTTGTTTCATTCCTTAAGAGCATAGAGTTTGGGGCCAGAGTGGCAGCACAGCAATTAGGACAATTGCTTTCCATGCAACCCGGGTTTGATCCCCAGCACCAGTAAGTTTCCTGATGGCCTGCCCCACCCCCCCCCCCATCCATAAGGCTGCCTACCATGGTTGTTAGCTAAAAGAACTTTATTAGATTAGGATATTAAAGGTAGATGGAAGAAGTAATTGTTAATTCACAGTGAGAATTATGGTTGGGGCAAGAGTGATAGTGCAGTAGGTAGGGTTTGCCTTGCACACAGCCAACTGTGTGTTCAATTCCTAGCATCCCATGTGGTCCCCCGGACCCCACCAGGAGTGATTCCTGAGTGCTGAGCCAGAAATAAGCCCTGAGAACTTCCAGGTGTGGCACAAAAAAATTTATGGTAATTCTTTAGTTCATTTAGAATCTACATACATAATTTCTCTAATAACCTAGACATTTTGTTATATAGATATTCCCCAACCCAGGGTAATGCTCAGGAGTTGAGGGCAATAGGCACAGCTGTCAGGGCTGGGGCGCTGGGCCGGAGAGAGAGCACAGAGGGGAGGGCACTTGCCTTGCATGGACCCAACCTGCAGGTGGCTGGTCAAATCCAGTAAGTCATATACTGGGTAATAACACTATATATCATAGCTGAAAATTAAGATTTGAGTTAACTGAAAATTAGGATTAATTTGGAGTCAGACAGGACCGTTGCATATAAAACTGTCTGGCAAGCCTTTAACTACTGTGATAGAAACAAAAGTATTTCTAAGGGTCTGGAGAGAAATATGGCAGGTAAGGCACTTGCCTTGCTTGAGCTGATGTTGGTTTGATACGGGGCATCTGATACTGCCAGGAGTGACTTCTGAGTGCAGAGCCAGGAGTACCCCTGAGCATTGCCAAGTATAACCCCAAAATAAAATATTTTTGAGATGGAGTAACATTTCAGTACAGCTGATGGCAGGTGTAGTTTATCAACATTGCATTTCTGAAAAATTATTAACACTATTATAGGTCACAGTGTCTAAAAAACAGTGAGGGGGAAGCCGTCTCTTGATCCTCTACAAACTGGAGAAACTATTAGGCAACTTAAAGTCTTGGCTAGTTAATTGAACATTTAAGCATCCATCCTTTTTTTTTTTTTTTTCTTTTTGGGTCACACCTGGCTCTGCACTCAGGAATCACCCCTGGCGATACTCAGGGATGCTGGGAATCGAACCCAGGTCGGCCGCGTGCAAGGCAAACGCCCTACCTGCTGTGCTATTGCTCCAGCCCCAAGCATTCATCTTTAGATTTTCATTGGTATGAGAAAATCTATGTTCGTTGGGGTTTTTCTACTTGCATGTTCTGTTTGGAGATCACTGTATCACTGTCATCCCATTGTTCATCGATTGACTCGAGCAGGAGCCAGTAACGTCTCTATTCGTCCCAGCCCTGAGATTTTAGCAGCCTCTCCTTACTCGTCTTTCCCAACCATTGGAGGCTCTTTCAGGGTCAGGGGGATGAGACCTGTTATAGTTACTGTTTTTGGCATATCGAATACGCCACGGGGAGCTTGCTAGTCTGTGCAAAAGTGTTAGATAGGAAACCATAAAAGTACACATCTCGAGGGGAGATGCGGGCGATACATGTGCTCGGTCTCGAGGGCGCAAGCAACACATGGGCTCGGGCAGCATATGTGCGCCCTTCCTTTGCTCAAGGTGTCTTTTGTAGGCTCTTCTGGAGTTCTGGAGTCTTCTTGGGGGCTGGATCACATTTTCATCAGAATAAGGGAGAGGTCTGAGGCTTTGAGGAACTTCATGGGGAGGGGTCCCACGTCAGGGTCAGCTGAAGGTCTTACAAAGTCTGTTTTCTGTATCCCCAGACGGATCAGTTTTAGGATTTTCCTCCCAGAAGTTCTGTTGACCTAAGTTTTATTGCCGAGGGCCTCCCTGTCTACCTGCGTACATCATATTCTCCTCGAGAGATTGTCCCCCCTTAAATCTTTAAGGGAGAATGGTTGAAGGTCCAGTCTTACGGAGCTGCTTCATGCTGACAACGGGGCGCTCACCCTGCCTGCACAAGGGGTGAAATATCATGCTACTTTAGTTTTAGTGTGCCCCAGGCAATGAATTGGTTGGGTTCCTGAAGTTATCTGAAAGAAAAGATCAGATCAGTTAGACTGAGTGATATCACTTTGAATTGATTAAACCCTGGAGAAGGTCCTTTCTGATCCAGTAAGGATGTGGTTTGCTGTCTTAGAAAGCATAAGAGTTAACAGAAACCAAAACAACATAGTGCCTACCCATTTCTATCACAAAAAATAATGGAAAGGATTAACTTAACTCATAGGTTTGGTTGATAGAAAATGACTTCCTATGTCCAGAATTTCTTTTTTCTTTTTGGGTCACACCCAGCGATGCACAGGGGTTACTCCTGGTTTATGCACTCAGGAATTATTCCTGGCTGTGCTTGGGGGACCATATGGGATGCTGGGAATCGAACCTGCGTTGAGCCACGTGCAAGGCAGACGCCCTCCCCGCTGTGCTATCACTCCAGCCCCCCAGATTTTTTAATGGACATTGAAGCAGCAAGCCACTTCTCAATTGGAAAAGCTACTCATCCACTGAGCTATCAGTAAGAACTAATAGATATTTATACCTTGAATATTTGAGCATTTGATCATTTGCATGAAGTCAAGCTGCCAGTCCTCCCCTGGATAAGTTCCTTCATGCTGAACAGGAGTTAGGAGAGGGGCCCCAAGATTTCCACTAGATTTATTAATGGCACAGAAAGCACAGTTCTGAGAGTTCCTTCCCACAGAAGATGGTTTTCACTAGTGTTAGTAAAGCATTTCTTTCCATTTTGGAAGCTTCATGTAACCATTTAACCATCAACCTCCTGTTTGATCACATACCACAAGTATCCTTATTTTTAGATCTTCATTGTCCTCAGTGTCATTCTCTGTAAAATGTTGACATATTAATTAAACCTGCTTGGGGTAAGATTTAAACAGAGCCTGAGGATTTTGCTTCGTGGTTGAGTATTTGACTTGCATATATGAAGCCCTGGGTTTGATCCCCAGTTCTCGGGGTGGGGGTGGAGGGAAAAGACGGACTGGGAGAGACTTGCCTAGCATGCTGCTGTGGTTCAGATCATACATTCCCAGCCTCCCATATGGTCTCCCAAGCACTGCCAGAAGGAATTACTGAGCGCATGATCCAGGAGTAACCCCTGAACATTGCTGGGTGTGACCCAAAAAGGAAAAAAAAAAAGGATACATGGTCCAGAGAGAACATGGGCTTGAGAGGGCAAGCCTTTATTCTTATTTTAAAACAACCAAAACCGAAAAGGGGGAAAAAAAAAAACCGAGTTGGGGCAGGAGAGACAGTTCAGTGTACTGGAGCAGGTGCTTTGAATGCATGAGACTCCGGTTCAAATTCTGACATCTCATGGTCCCTCAAGCACAGATCTTGGGCATTCACTGAACATTGCAGTCGTGATTTTTATAAAGAAGAAATGGAACCGTTGCCAGGGAGATAGAACCAGGGTCAAGGGTGCATGCTTTTCATGCATGGGTCCCCTAGTTGTTTTTGTTTTTTTCTTTTTGGGTCACACCCGATAATGCACAGGGGTTACTACTGCTCATGCGCTCAGGAATTACTCCTGGCAGTGCTCGGGGGACCACACAGGATGCTGGGAATCGAACCTGGTTCAACCGCGTGCAAGGCAGATGCCCTACCCGCTGTGGTATCGCTCCAGCCCGGGTCCCCTAGTCTCATACCCAACATTGTGTGGCCCCTGAAATGCTGCCAGATTTACCCTAGTCGGCTCCAGCAGCACTGCGTCTTCAGGTTCCAGCACTGAGCCGTCTGGCCCTTTGGCTAAATACCACTGTGATTGGCCCCTTGACCCTTGAGTGCTGCTTGAAAAACCACACAGACTCCCTTCCTTAAACCCTTCCCATAAAGAAGCGCTTACGAGCTGAATTCCCATTTGAATGAATGATTTCCCCCCTTTTCATTTTTCCCATGTAGCCCAGTGCGTGGAAAGCTAACAGAATGGAACACAAGTCAGGATCCCTTTCCTCCGGTCGGGAATCTGCATTTACCAGTCCAGTCTCTGTTACCAAACCAGTAGTACTGGCTAGTGGCTCAATTCTGAGCTCTCCCAAAGAGGTAAGTAAGGATAAGGCTGAACTTAGGAGCTGCTTTAACTAGACTTAAAGACATGCAGAGCTATAACTCCATTTCCTTCGTAGTTGACCTTCATCCAAAGTTCTTTTCTGATTTACCATTAGCATTCAAAAGTGGGTAGTAGCAAGGAGGGACAGCTGCTTGGCCTGTATTAGACTCACCTTCTAGTGTCTATAGAAAAATCAATGTGTATACTGTATAAACTGTAAAACTGTATAAACCAGTATTTTAAAAGCTGTAAAGCTGGGGCTGGAGAGATAGCACAGCGGGTAGGGCGTTTGCCTTGCACGCAGCCGACCCAGGTTCGATTCCCAGCATCCCATAGGGTCCTCTGAGCACCGCCAGGAGTAACTCCTGAGTGCAGAGCCAGGAGTAACCCCTGTGCATCGCTGGGTGTGACCCAAAAAGCAAAAATAAATAAAATAAAAGCTGTAAAGCTTAAGTCTGTTAAGAGAAAAGAATGAATTGTTCTTGGTAAAAGGCAGAACAGTAAGTAAGCTAGGAGATTCTGGAAGTGACCATACAGAGATGACCCGGAGAATCCCGGTTCTTGCTCTGAATCGTTAGTATTTGTCTGTGTCTACTCATGTGTCGTATTTGCCTAGAGTCCATCCAGCACCACTCCTCCCATTGAGATTAGCTCCTCTCGCCTGACCAAGTTGACCCGCCGAACTTCTGACAGGAAAAGTGAGTTCCTGAAGACTCTGAAGGATGACCGGAATGGAGACTTCTCAGAGAACAGAGACTGTGACAAGGTAGAGGATATAAGAGTGTACGGGCTTTCTGGAGGCAAAGTAGTGCTTTTCCTATGAGGGTTTTTTCTTTTTTTTTTCTTTTTCCTTTTCTTCACGATCACAACCATCCTTTGTTCGTCGATTGCCTCGAGCAGGCCCCAGTAACGTCTCCTTCGTCCTAGCCCTGAGATTTTTTACAAAGTGCCATATTCAAGGCTCTTTCAGAGTTAGGAGAATGAGACCCATCATTGTTACTGGTATTTGGCATATTGGGTACGCCACGGGGAGTTTGCCAGACTCTGCCATGTGGGCAGGTTACATTCGGTAGCCTGCCAGTTTTTCCAAAGGAGGAATGAGATAAAAAAAAATGTCGCGCGGCTGCATTTGCTTCCAGGAGCTGGGTTTTATAGTCTCTGAGTCTTGGCCGTTGATGGGATTACACTTACACGGCGCCTGGGGGCCAGTTGGTGGGTCTGACCCCCACCTACTGGAAGGTGGAGGATCTGGGTGGAGGATGCTCAGCCCTGATCCGAGCAGGCTTGGAGATCTCAGCCCCGGGACCCATGTGCCTTTGTTCCTCTGCCAGTACCTTCATGCGTGTGGAGAGTGGCCTCAGCACAGTGGTGGCTGGTTCAGGAGGTCTTTGGCTGTCGGAGCCCTGTCCTTTTCTTGTCTTTTTTTTTTTTCCTTCTGAAATTTTGGGCCACAGACTGCAGTGCTAAGGGCTTACTCCTGGCTCTGTGCTCAAGGATCCCTCCTGGCAGTGCTGGTGTCCAGAAGCAGTGCTGCAGATTGAACCTGCATCAAACCACTTGCACGGCAAGTTCCCTACCTACTGATCCCCTACTGATTTTTTTTTCTTCTTTAGGGAGAAGACATGGCATATTTTTTAAGTATACAAAGATTTCTCTCAAGGAACAATAACATGATAAAAACGAGTGTCTTTTCTTTGTTCAGCAGATTTCAATTTAAGGTTTTTTGTTGTTGTTGTTTTGTTTTTGGGTTTTTGTTTTAGTTTTAGTTTTTTTTTTTTTTTTTTTTTTTTTTTTTTTTTTTTTTTTTTTTTTTTTTGCTTTTTGGGTTACACCCGTCGATGTACAGGGGTTACTCCTGACTCTGCACTCAGGAATCACTCCTGGCGGTGCTCGGGGGACCATATGGGATGCTGGGAATCGAACCCAGGTCGGCCACGTGCAAGGCAAACGCCCTACCCACTGTACTATCACTTGAGCCCCGTGTTTTTGTTTTAACAGTAGAGTCTGTAGTTGTTCGTATGTACAGTGCTGCTCTACCATGCCCAGCCCAGAGTGCCTGGGTCCCTCCATCTTTAGCCCATCATTCCTCCCCACCCCCACCTCCCACCCCTTACCCCCCACCCCCTTGCTTTTAACACTTGTTTAAGCAAGGGCAGCAGTGCCATTGAGCCTAGAATTGCTCTGGGCTATAAGTTGATAATTATATAAATGTTGTCAGTTGTGGTTATCTTTCATTGTAAATAAAATCTGGGCAGGGTGGGAGAGATACTGGGGACATTGGTGGTGGAAAAGGTACACTGATGGGTGAATGGGTATTCAATCATTGTATGACTGAAACTCAAGCATGAAAGCTTTGTAACTGTATCTCACAGCAATTCAGTAAAAAAATTATAAAGTGAAATCTGAGGCTGGTGAGACAGTACCAGGGGTTCAGTCTCTTCCCTTTAATGTAGGCGACTATGGTCCAGTGGTTTCCCCAAACACCACCAACGCACCATCAATGCACAAGAGCCAAGAATAGCCCCTGAGCATTACAAACCCCCAAAAATGTTTTTTTGTATCCTGCAATAAAGGTAATAGATTATTGATATTATAAGAAAATTAACCTTAAAAAAAAAAGTTAACCTTTGGTTGCTTGAACCAAGTATAGTTACACACCCTGGGCATTTTGTCCACATTTAAAGAAGGTTCGTACCAGAAACCTGAAAAGGAACCAACTATAGCCCCTCTGTTTAAAAAATAATTATATTAATAATGGGTTAGAGTGATAGCACAGCGGATAGGGCGTTTGCCTTGCAAGCGGCCAGTATGGCCAACCCGAGTTCGATTCCTTTGCCACTCTCAGAGAGCCTGGCAAGCTCCCCGTGACGTATTCGATATGCCAAACACAGTAACAATCGTCACAATGGAGACGTTACTGGGCCCACTCGAACAAGTCGATGAACAACGGGAGGACAGTGACAGTGATAATAATCAATGCTTATTTGGGGGGGAGTTCACACCGGCGTCGCACAGGGGTTACTCCTGGCTCATGCACTCAGGAATTACTCCTGGCGGTGTTCAGAGGACAATATGGGATGCTGGAAACTTGGGTCGACCATGTGCAAGGCAAACGCCCTACCCTCTGTGCTATCTATCGCTTCAGCCCTATAACAATAATGCATTATAGTCACACTCTGCTCAGCGGCTTCATATTTGGCTGTGAAAATGTCATTCCTAACTGGAGTCCAGGAAAATGAACTTTCAAAAACTGAACATTTCTTAGTCCATATTGGTTGAAGGAAGAACAGAGAATTGTTATTTCTAAGCCTTTGTCTGTTGGGTAGTCTGTGGATTTCATGGGTAATTTGGGTAATTGGGTAGCCTTTGGATATCTCAGCAAAGCGAGCAGGTCCGTGTCTTTAACTGGGGAAAGACTTAAGGCTGAGGTTATCTTCTCCAGAATACTCTGATTTGTGTATCTTAGTTCAGTTGGGCTGGAGCAGCAGCACAGCAGGTAGGGCATTTGCCTTGCACGCAGCTGACCGGAGTTCGATTCCTCCGCCCCTCTCAGAGAGCCCGGCAAGCTACCAAGTGTATCCCGCCCGCACAGCAGAGCCTGTCGGGCTCCCCGTGGTGTATTCGATATGCCAAAAACAGTAACAACAAGCCTCACAATGGAGACCTTACTGGTGCCCACTCAAGCAGATCAGTGAACATCGGGAGCACAGTGCTACCCTGCAGTGCTGTAGTCTTATGAATGTATTATCTTGCCACAGAATTCTTTTAAATTCATTATATTGTCCTTCCTTTCTTACTGCAGCTGGAGGACAGCAGCACACTTGAACCAAAGGAAAACGGAGAGGAAGGCTGTCATCAGAATGGTCTTGCTCACCCTGTGGAAGAAGAAAGGGAGGTCCTCTCACACTCTCTGGAAGCAGAACATCGGTGAGGATCACGTCATAGACGTGCTCTGTGTGGAGCCTGAACAGACTTACAGAGTCATCTCAGATTAAATCTAATTTAAAAGTCCCCTAACCTTTAGGGGCTGGGCGGTAGTGCAATGGGTCCTACCTCTTGCCTTGTTCGAGGTCAATCCAGGTTCCATCCTTGGCATTCCTTTGTAGTCCCTAATAACCACCAAAAGTAATTCCTGAGTGAAGAGCCAGGAGTAAGCCCTGAACATCGCCATGTGTGGTCCAGACACAAAAAAGAAAAGTATCACAACTTTTCTCTGTTGCCCAGTGAGCATCGGACACTAGTCCTGTTTTTGTATTTTGTTTTTTCACATTTTTCTTTCCAAGGCTTTCATATATTTTAGCTTCACATTCACTTTATGGCCTCATTTTAGAGGGAATCCTATTTCCTGATATAGTTTAGAGATTGTATGAATCTCTCATAGAAATAGAAGGCATGATAGGACTCCATGTAAGGACTGGCCAGGTAACATGCTTTATATGCTGGAGGCCCAGGTTAAGTCCCTGCACCGCCTGGTCTCTGAATACCCATGGAAGCAAATCGTGAGTAGTTAACGGGCAAGGTGCCCATGAGCACCACTGGGTACGTTCCGAAAAGAAAAGAAAAAAGGTTACTGGGGCAAGAGTAATAGCACAGCCGGTAGGGCTTTTGCCTTGCATGAAACGGACCTAGTCTGGATCCCCAGCATCCCGTATGATCTCCAAGCACTGCCAAGAGTAACTCTTTGTGCAGTTAGGAGTAGTCCCTGAGAATCGCCGGGTGTGGCCCAAAAGCAACAACAGAAAACCACTGTCTGGGTCAGAGATAGTACCAGTGTTTTAGTGCTTGCCTTGTATGTGATCATCCCAAGTTCGATCCCTGGCACCACATACTCCCCCACGCATCACCAAAAAACAGAGAGAACGTTGTCATATGTTCTGTCCTATCTCCACCAGGTTGCTGAAAGCAATGGGTTGGCAAGAATATCCTGAAAATGATGAGAATTGCCTTCCTCTCACAGAGGATGAACTCAAAGAGTTCCACATGAAGACAGAGCAGGTACCATGTGCACCTTTCTGGAGGCTGGTTAATGACTAAGGGAGAAAGGAGTCAGGGCGGTCTTTGCTTTCGGGGAGTCACAGTGGCATGTGAGAAAAGAACCTTGAGGGGCTGGAGCGATAGCACAGCAGGTAGGGCGTTTGCCTTGCACTCAGCCAACCCAGGTTCGATTCCCAGCATCCCATATGGTCCCCCGAGCACCGCCAGGAGTAACTCCCGAGTTCATGAACCAGGAGTAACCCCTGTGCATCACCGGTGTGACCCAAAAAGCAAAAGAAAAGAACCTTGAAAGAAAAAATCGAAAGTTGCACTTGGCTATAAGACGAAACCAAACAATTTGCTGCTATGTGGATGGCTCTGCAGAGTGAAGTTAGGAAAAGAAGACACATAATGATCTCTCTCACATATGGAGATAACCAGTGCAGCAGAAACTGGGCCCAGAGCAGCAGATAGTACAGCGGGCAGGCCGTTCGCCTTGCACATGGCCAACCCGGGTTCAATCCCTGGCATCACCTTTGATCCCCCAACTACAGCCAGGAGTAATTCCTGAACACAGAGCCAGGAGTAGCCCCTGAGTATCACCGGTGTGACGCAAAAAATTCCTCTCCTGCCCCCCCCCAATAAAAAAAAGTGACCAGGAAGATCGCTTAAAAGTCTGGAGCATACGCTTTCATGTGGATTTAATCCCTGGCATTACACTACATGGTCTCCCCAGCACTGCCAGATGTGGCCACAAAAAAAACGGGCTAGAGCAATAGTACAGCATATGATTCCTTGCACATGGGTGGCCCTGCTTTCATCCCATGCACTACGTAATGGTTGCCCCCACCACCATTCCAGTAGTAAGCCCAGAGCACGCCCAGGTACGGCCCCAAAATTTACAGATGCATGCACGCACACATGGACCAGGATTTACAACAGTGAAGAAGACAAGTGAGTCTTGGGGCCAGGGAGCTAATTCCGAGGATTAGTGTCATGCTTTGCATATGAGGGACCAAGCTTTGATCCCTGACACCGCATGCTCCCTGAGTAGCAAGCCTCATAGAACTCGTGGCTTGATAGTATAGATTTAAAACATAAATTACAGTTAAGTGTTCTATGAGAGACAGGTTGACTAAAGACTTATGAGGAGGAGAGAAACGGTTTGCTATTGAAAATTTTGTTTCTGATTTTCATCACTTAATTACTGGTAGAAATAGGGAATCTCAAACCTTACTGAGACATATTGAATCAGAACCTGCATTTTAAAAAGATCTTAATAATCAGGGAGACAGCTCGTAGGGCAAGTGCATTTGCTTTCCACGTAGGAGACCTGGTTCCATCCCTGGCATCACATAGTCCTCCTGGCACCTTCAGTAGCAGCCGCCAAGCACTGCCAGGAGTGACCTCCCAGAAGTGAAAAAATACATATATAATTGATTCATTTGTACATTTTGGAAGGTACTATTATGAGAAATCTTCAGTCTCATAGAAGGGATCTTCTCTACAGTCTACCTTGAATTTAACTAAGGACTAACCTTTCCCTGAGGCCTTTCTCAGTTATTTACTACGGTGTTTTTTTTTGTTTTTCCTTTCCCATCTTATCCACAGCTGAGAAGAAATGGCTTTGGAAAGAATGGCTTCTTGCAGAGCCGCAGTTCCAGCCTCTTCTCCCCTTGGAGAAGCCCTTGTAAAGCAGAGTTTGAGGACTCAGACGCAGAAACCAGTAGCAGTGAAACATCAGACGATGATGCCTGGAAGTAGGGCATGCAAATGCTGGGAGTTCAGTCCGGTCCAGGAAACTCAGCTTACGTGTTTGGAGAGTGTACAAAGGAAATCATTCTTTGCCTTTGCCTTTTCCTAGGTTCTTTGTTTATATTTCATGCACAAGGGAAGTAATCATATCCCAAAGAGCAATTGTCTCGTTCAGCTTTTGTTCTTTTTCCCTGTTTTCTGCTTGATAGAAGTTTGTGGTGGGAAAGATTTTTAAATGCACACACTTACACAGTATAGATGGGGCAGTGCACAGGTGGGAGCTGCCATGCAGAGGGTCCTGGTCTGCAGCAGCTTCCACTACCAGCCCTTGGGGCACACACCCCTGTGCTCAAGCAATCATTGTCAATGACAAAGTGACTATTGAAGTTATAATTGTATTAAATTAATGCTAATAATTTGGATATTTTATTTTTGGCTGCTCGGGTAACATTAGCCCTTAACCAGGCATACGTGGTTTTATTTTCCCTTTTTGGGTACAGCTGTAAAATATTTGGATATAAGAAATGTTGTTATTCTTGCAGCCTTGATATTCAGGGTGGATTGTAAAATATAAATTTTTGTGAAATTTCAAAGATTAAGATTATTTTGATAACATTATTTACAGATTTAAAAGAAGTGGTTATCACAGGCCTGTTGAGGGGGGGAAACTACTGCATAAAATAACTAACTTGGAATAAATATTTTGCATCAGTTTTGGATTGTCTTGTGTAAGAAGTATATTTTCTTTAAAATTAAATGAGTGAATTCTGGGAGGGGGGATACTCTGTGAGGGGTGGTCTGAATTCAGACACACCTGTTTCTCCTTTTAGCAGATACTTTTTCGATGCAGAAGAACCTGTGCAATAAATTACCAGTAATAAAATCAGAACCCAAGTTTCCTTCCTGAAACCTTTTCACTGTTTGTGTATTTATCAATGCGCATTATCTTAATGAAGTGCTTTTTCTTAGTTTTCTTGCTAAATAAGAACATTTATGGCGGGTTTGAGTTGATGCTGACTGGGTTACCACTGAACAGGTCACTCAGTAATTACCTTGCTTTTGTGTCCCAGACATTGGTCAAGGCTCTGGGGATACACGAATATGGCCCAGGGCCAGTGACGGTACAGTGGGTAGGAACCTGCTTTTGTACGTGGCCACCCCAGGTTTGATTCCCAGCATCCATATGATTCCCCTGAGTCCCTCCAGGAGTGTTTCCTGAACGCAGAGCCAGGAGTGTTGGGAGATAGAGGAACAAGAAGCCTGGTTGCATGTTTGAAGGATAGCTTGTTTAAAAAAATCAATACTGAAGTTGAAGAAGAGGTAACTCGTTAGGCCAGAGAACCTTCTTGGGGCCAACCCATTCCATCCCTGCGCTGCCATAGAGCACAGAGCCGGACTAGCCCTGCCTACTGCTGGTTGTATCCCCAAAAGCTAGCTCATGCCTCCAAAATGGTGACTTTATTTTTCATTATTCAGATTTTAAAAACCAGGAAAACTGAGACCTTATCTGACACTCTGTTGAGAGTGCTTGCCGTGTACACGGCTGACCCATATTCATTTCCCAGCACACCGTATGGTCCCTTGAGCCCAATGAGGAGTGACCCTTTGTGAAGAAGGAGTTAAGCCCTGAGCACAGCCAGATGTGGCCCAAATGCATGAAAACCAGTCGTGATCCCCAGCTCTACAAGTGACCTCCAGCACTAAGATCTAAGGGGGCCATATCACCACAACCCCCAAAAAGCAACCTGGAGGACAGGGAAGATGTCTCACCTGGATCACATGATTTGTTGCAGAAATCAGTATATAAATCCAATATCCAGAACCACAAGCCCTGACTACCAATGGGAATGATCCCTGAGCTAACTCTCGGCATGGCCCAAAAGAAACCACAAAATACATAAGCATGCAACTGTAAGTCACTGCAGAAACAAAGGGAGTAAGCGAGAGGCCTCTGGCCTTGATGCGACCTGGTTTAGTGAAAGCTGTGGTTGCGAATGGGCCAGAGACAGCACATGAGGTAATGGCATTCGCCTCGCAGGTGCTTGGCCCAGGTTTGATCTCCAGCACCGCAGATCACCTTCCTGAGCACCTCCGTTTACTTTTCGGTTGGAGGCTACGCACAGTGGTTCCTGGGGAGCGTGTGAAGTGCAGGGGTCAGATAATGGGTCAGCCACATACAATGTAAGCACCTTACCCTCTGTGGCCCATCCACTGTTTTAATTGATAAATTTTGTTTACTTACTTGAGGTCAAGATTAGTATACTCTCAGTTCTGAGGCATTTAGAATCCTTTGGTTTGGGGTGCGGAGGGCATGCTTGGCAGTGCTCAGGGATCACTCCTAGCAGGGCTCGGGGAACCATATGCAGTGCCAAGAATCAAACCTCGGTGGATCAGTTGTATACAAGGCAAATGCCTGTCGCTCCAGTGCCAGGTGTTACTACTGACACAATGCCAGCCAAACCCACAGTGCTGTTCCCCCACTTCCCTCTCAAAAGCTGTAGCTATTGACCAGAGTGCTCAAAGACCAGGCGCATGCTGTGGGAAGTCTGTGCTTCCCGATTTCTGTATCCACAAATACAGAGCTGGAAATTACTTGAAGACCACAGGATCTAGCCCAAGATGTTCCCTGGAATGACACTGACATGGAGCATGCTGTCCCTTGAGCAAACACCACCATTCAGGCTTGTGTGGCCAGTGCTGTGAGATGGCCCAGCTAGTCTGACACAGTCCGTTTCCCCTTTAGGTAGAGAAACTGGCATAATGTCAACCAGTGCTCATGCAAGAACAGATTTGGTGACATGTTTACAGGGGCTCCTCCCAAAGGTGACCAGCCTTCTCTGCGTTCTGCAGACCTGCCCAGACCTGTAGCCGCTGCCCAGGGAGCTGTGGCTCCTCCCCAAACAAAAACTTGATCTCGTAGACCCAAACAACCTGGCCTCTCTCTGCCTCGGCTCTTTGGTCCGCTCCCCTCCCCGTGGCCTTCTTTCTGTCTTGTCTTCTGCAGGTCTTGGCTGATGTCAGGGAAGGAGACCCAACCCGGGGCTTCCTCCGGGGAATCAGGACTCCTCCCTTGTGGGTCCTGTGACATGGTTTTCCGTTCCTGGGCCCTGTTGGCCACCCATACTCAGCGTTTCTGCATTGGCCGCCTGACCCAGGAGGTGACGCTTGGAGCACAGCCTTCAAAAGTCACAGAAACAGCCCCCAGTGCGGTAAGGGTCTCCTTCGAATCCACAGATAGGTCTGTGCCGGCGACCTTGATCCTCAGGCGACCCCCCCTCTTCCCCCCATACTCTGACTCAGGTTGTGTCAGAGGAACCCCAGGGCCTTTCAGACCAGGAGGCCAGTAAAGGAGCTCTAATAAGGCTGACAGAGGAGGTATGCCTGGCTTGTCCCCTGGGTTGAACATTCTCCCAACTTCTAAGTCGTGTGTTACCCCACCGGTGAGTGGTGACTTATCTCCAGGTACAAAGGCTCCGGCTGTATCTGCAGGACGAGCGACCTGGGGTAACTGAGGTTCTCAGGGGTTCAGAGAGACCCTGGAAACCTTCAAAGGCACCCACTCAGGGTCCCACATTCGAGGCTGCAGGAAGCCCTGATGAACGTTTGCGGGCGCTGTACGGGACACACGCAAGACGCGTGGCAGAGACCGAAGCACAGGGCGCGGCTCTGCAGCGACGTAGCGAGGGTAAGGGCATGCGAGACACAGGGACCCCTTCTGGCCCTTGGACTTGAGGCTGCTGGGCCACATTCCCACGAGCCCCGTGTCCCCTCAGAACTGAGCAGGCGCCTGCAAGGGTTAGCCTCGTCGCAGGGCGGGTCAGCTCGCCCACTCAGCGTGGAGCGGGAGCTGCGGGTACTGCGGGCAGAGGCCGAAAGAACTCGGGGAGCACTGGAAATGTTGGAGGAGCAAATGAAGCAGTTGCATTCGGAGGCCGGGTGAGAGCCGAGCGGGGCGGGTGGAGTGGGGTGTGGACGCTGCTGGAAGACAGGTGTGAGGGCGAGAGGGGCAGAGCACCGTCGGGGTCTGGAGCCAAGGCCCCCGGGTGCGTCCCGCCCGCGCTCCAGGATCCGACTGAACTCCTTAAGAGCGGGAGAACTTTGTCGTCCGGGGCCGCAGGCCAACGCGGGGACTCTGGCTGCGGAGATAGGGTGAGGCCCCGGGCCGAGGTCGGGCCTGGGTGGGAAGGGCAGGTGAGTCCTGCAAAGTCGCAGCTGCCTCTTTCTTCCTTCCTCAGGGCTCTGCGGGAGGCTTATCTTCACGGCGGGGGTCGGGACCCGGGCCTGCTGGGCCAGATGTGGCAGATGCAAGCGGAGGCGTCGGCCCTGGAGCAGCGGCGGTCGCGGATCCGCAGGGGTGAGCAGAAAGCGCCCCTTTGAAGCAGTGGCCTTGGTCCTGGCAGAAGAGGGGCATGAGGGAGCAAATCGAAATCGCCAGAGCCGCAAGGGGGCAAACCTGGGTGGTCTGTGTGGCGGTGGATAGACCAGCCTTGCCCAGGCTGCTGAGGCGCCCACGGTGAGCCTGCCAGAGCCCAGTGCCAGTCACCAGATCAGAGGCAACAGGGCCAACTTGTTCACCACAGGAAAACATGCAGGAGATGCATCTGGGGAGCTTCTGGCGGTAGAAACTGGAAACCGGCGTCTGGAGGCGGAAATCCTGGCTCTGCAGATGCAGAGGGGCCTCGGCCCGTCCTTGTGGGGTTAGTGAGTACCCACCCAGCCTTGTCCCCAGCAGGCTGGGCTCGGGGGAAGAGGCAGAGTTAATAATGCAGAAGACTGGTCAGGGGCAGAGGGGACAGCGCATGGACAATGATCGCATCTGTAGCCTCTGTTCACCAGCATCTCCGGATGTCCTGTCTTGATTCCTGCTGCTTCCTCTGCCCACAGCATCCCGGGAGAGTGGACTAGTGGCAGCTTCCAGCTCACGCCTGAGAAGATGGGGAGATCCCCCACTCCTTCCCCCATCAGTAGCTCCCCCACTGCCACCCTTTCTACCCTCTACAGAGACCCTCTTGGATGGCAAGGAAAAGGCTGTGAGGACCCCGGGCTTGGGGCAGGGCTGTTCTGTGCAGTTGAGGGACCACGCTAAGGAGTCAACTCTTACTCCACAGCCACTGCTTTCTGGAGCTAGGGCCACGAACCTGGGCCAGGATCCCTACTTCCTCCTACCCTCATCTGATGTTCTGGGCCCTGCGCCTTATGACCCCGGGTGAGGCCTGCTGCTTCCTTTAACGAACTGATATGGTCACATTACTGGTTATGGAGACACACCGGGGCGGTTGGGGGCCAGCCCAGAGTGGGTGGGAAACGACATCTGCACTGAGACTTCTGTTCCCCAGGACTGGTCTGGTCATTTTCTATGACTTCCTGCGGGGCCTTGAGACTTCTTGGATTTGGGTGCAGTTAAGCACTGGCTTGGCACGAGATGGACAGAATACAGGAAGGAGTACAGCATTGCCCCCAGCCCTCTGCCTGCCCCCACCTGCAGCTCCTGGGCCCATGGGCAATTGTGCCATTCTTGCCAGCAGGCAGCCTATTCCCAGGTCAGTGGAAATAACGGGTCCCCTGCTCGACTGAGGCTTGTTCCCCATTCAACTTAGATCTGGTTGTTGCAGATTGCCACCCTCACCATCAGTGTCCTTGATCTGTGAGCTGCAGGCCTGGCAAGGGTCATCATGGCCGAGGGCACCAGAACCAAAGGCCTGGGCCTCACTACACCTATTTGACGAGGGTCAGAGGGTGTTAAGTGGTCGATGGCGTCTTCCACTTCGAGCCCTTCCTCGAGACAGCAGCCTCAGTCCTGGGCAGCTGAATGGAATTCCCCAGGTGAGTATGGATAGTGGGACTAGGTCTCCTTAAAGGTAGGTGCAAAACCGTTTCACCTCTCCCCAGGTAGGGCAGACTGAACTTTTTCTGCGGCTGGTCAATGCAAGAGATGCAAGTGTCCAGACACTGGCGGAGATCAATCCAGCAAGTGCCCAGGAGTACCAGTACCCACCTCTGGTGAGGATGGAACCCAACTAGAGCTAGACACCACAGATGTAGTTGGAATGGTTATTAGCCTCGTTCAGTGGAATACTTGATCACTACCAAATGTCTGATTTTAACTCGTGACCTTCATGCACCTTATTTAGTGGATACTGTCCTAAGGGAACTCAAAGGTGAAGCTCCAGATTCCAGTCAACATGCCGTCACCCTCTACACTATCTCCCTTTTGCCCGTCCACAGGTGTCCAGCTCTTCACTGGAAACCAACTCCCTGGCTCCAGCAGCTGGCTTTGTTGATCCCCCTCCTCCAGAACCCCTCATAGGCAGAGTAGAGGACAGAGATGAAAATTGGAGCCCTGCAAGTTTTGACCCACCAACTCTGGATTCCTAAAACGATTGTCGATTGTGAGTAGTTTTTGTGAGTGTGTGTAGGCTACAGAGACTTTTACCAGACCTAGAGTTTACTGCTCCAGATCCTGATATAAGAAATAGGAGCCGATTATAAGCACCAACCATACTTTTACCACCTTACCTCAATACCAATTGTTCTTTTTTTCTAATTTTCGTGTTTCCGGGCCACATCCAGCAATGGTCAGCAATCACTGCTGGCAGGGCTCAAGGGGCCTGTGGGGTGCCAAAGACCAAATCCATGTCCATCTCTTGTAAGGAAAGTGCCCTACCACCCCCCTGTCCTCTCTCCACATCTACCTCTTGCAAGGCAAGTGCCTCCTGTACTCTCTCTCCAGTCCTTTAACGACGTGGCCATGAGGATTAAATGAGCATTCAGTTACCTGCGATATGCTTGATGTATATAAATTTCACTCCTCCCAAATTAGGACTGGTGCTGGTTTATGTAAAAGAGGAGCTGAAGACTAAGTGCTGAATGGACCAACAAAGGTCCAAAGGGCTAGCTAGAAGCAACTACATGCAATATCCCCGCAGGCTAGGGGCAATATCTGCCCACCACCCATCTAGATAAAAGGTTAATATTTAAGATACTTATATAAGTAAACATTAAATTTATTTACTACATATTTATGCTAAATCTATTTATGAAGTATGTATTGAACATTAAACGTTAATGCACTAAAACTCAATGTATTAATGTTTAATATATATAGATGAACTAGTAGGATTTGACAAGAACAGAACATACCAAGGGCAAGGGGCAGAGGTGCTTGCCTTGTATGTGTCTCACCCAGATTAAATCCCTGACCCTCCATACGGTCCCTACAGACAAGAGTAAACTGCAGGATGTGACCCAAAAATCAAGAGTTAATTCCTGGGCATCACAGGATATGGCCCAAAAACCAAGAGCAAAGCATTGAGAGCTTTGAATCAACATTTTAGTCACGAGTTCTTATAATCATCCCAGCAAAACTCCATTTTACCTTCTATTTTCTTTTGAATTTAGGGGTCACCAGGCTCCTCCGCTGGCTCGGAAGGACCATCCTCCACTCGTGTATGGTGGGCACACACAGAACAGCCATTTTGGTGTTTGGGTGTCAGAATCCTCAGGTTGACTTTGGGCAGTTTAGAAATTAAATTCAAATCTGAACACATCCCAAATAAAGCCTTGTATGTTAGCAACTTCTCAAGGGTTCGGTGTGAGTTCCGGTTCCTTTGGATGGGAAAGCCAAAATTGGCTTTAGATCCTAAACCCTAAGACCACACATTTAAATGCTCTAGGCCAGTTTTCAACTGGGGTCCATGTGGCCCCCAACATACTGCCAAAGATCCTATCATGAGACTGTTACCCCTTTAGTATCAAGCAGCAGGAAGAGAAGCCACAGAATGTAAACAAGATCAGAAGGGAGCCAGTCAGGAAGAGGTTGTACAACACTGCACTAGAAAGTCCAAGACCCCACTTGTTGGAATACAAGGAGCTTGGGTTTATCAGATTACACCCTTAGCAGTGCTCCCGAATCACTCCCATTCCTTTGTCTGTAACCACTTCTCTATGCTCTCTTCCCCAACCAGTTCATCAGCTTTTCACCTAGTCAGAATCGTTAATTTGTAAGGTCAGAACTTCTAGGACACTGAATTTATATTGTAAGTTAATACTGCCTTTCGCCTCTCCTTATGTCCTTTGAATAGTTTAATGCAATGTCCTTTTTGTATACATAAAGACAATATTATGCTTTGTAACTTAGAATTTAATTGGTCTTGATTATTCACTCCCAGGCATCTGCTTTCTCAACTTAAGCCTCAGTTGCCCTCACTTCCTAGCACCCCAAAAACAGGGTCCCGACGAGGGGCTGGATGGAACCAGGGCAAGCAGATAAGCTATGTGCTACCCTGGTATCGAGATGTGCCAGACCAAAGCACCACAATTCCTAACTGTAAGTTAGGAGTTTGATCATAGACAAATGCTGTCATGATCCAAAAGTAACAGCGAGAGTAGGACCCTGCTAGGGGTGGGAAAGACTATCTGGCCTGAGCACTGTAGTCTGAGATCGAGATGGCCCTAGGAGAGCAATTTTAAAAGCTTCAAGTATTTCTTACTGTGTCCATACATACATAATTTATATCCATACTGTGGATACATGATTTATGTCCATACTGTGTCCACGATTTATATTATGAATGCTTATATGCTTGTTGGAAAAGGAGAGGAGAAACACCCAGGGGATTCCGTTCTAGGGTGGGTTGATCTGCTAAATGAGAATCTGCCCTAGAAGTGGCTTTCCCCAAATGGCAGACCATCTTTCTCATGGGTGGTATATACAGAAGCAAAGCAAGTGAACAGAGGTAGTGCCCAGGATAAACAAAAGACTTTGACAAAAGAAAATTAAATTAGGATGGGAAGAGAAGGGAAGGAGGGGTCCAAGAAACAGTAGTTGGAGGAATTTGGGATTGACATTGGAAGGCCAGTCATACTGTATCTGAAACTTATAAATTACCCTCATGTATTGTAACGGATTCTTGAACAAATTTAGTTGAATAAAGAATGTCGTGGAACATTAAAAAAAAAAAAAGAAGTGGCTTTCCCGAGTGTCCTGATTAGTTTGGACGAGGCTGAACATTTCTCCCCTTCAAACTGCCTTCAGTAAATAGTTTCAGCATATTGTAAGAGGCAAGTTTCCTTTTTCTCACAGACATCTCAGCCAGGCCTGATACTTGTCTGTGGGATGTAGATTCCAAGCTCTAGCAGACTGGTCTTTGGGATGCAAATCCAAGTGCTTGTAGCTTGGTTTTGTATCTTATTTTCAAAATTGTATCTACTTTTCAAAATTACTGGCCTACAGATGTAAAGCCGTATTGCGCCCTTTAGAGGTACCATGATCTATACAAGGAGATTTTCGGGGCTCTCTGGGGGAACACGTGTTTGAGAGAACTGAGAGAATGGGGAACGCAGGCCTGAGAGTACCTGGAGAGCACGTGCCTGAGAGATCCTGGGCCCTCCATGACATGAATTTCTTCCTTGTAATAAACTGCTACTAAGACCAACCAGCCTGGCCCTCCCTGGAGTGGGGAGCTGCCCTTTGTGTTCACACACCCACCGATTGTTCAAAATCAAGTCCAGACCACTTTTTTTAAAGCATATTTATTCGAGTCAAAACTTGGCAGATGTGATTAACAATTTCAAGAGTTGGCTGATACTTTATCCTTTCTATACATAAAATAACAAGTATCTTATTTGCCAACCCCACTCCCCACCAGTCTTCCAACAACTTCTGAAGTGTCCAGACAGTTCCCCAATTACCACTGTGTGGACACCGGTTTTCCTCAGGGTCTCATTTCCCCATGTTCCCCAGTCCTCTTTCTAGGACTGAGAACGACCCCAAGTTGAACAGGTTAAGAAGGACAGATACCACCCAGGCCCAGCAGTCAGAGTCCAAATGACATCAGCACCAAGGAACAAAATCTTCACGGAGAACTGCTTTTGTGGCGCCCATCCAGACAGTGAAGACGCTTAAGGTTTGTTTGCAAGATGGCCGAATTCAGCCAAGTATTTTAAACAGGAAAACATAGCACCATTGGAAGACAGAGTGTCCAAAGCCACCTGGCTTTCGCGGTCTCCACAGAAATCTGGACAAGAACTTCCAACGCAGATCGGTACAGATGGTGGAAGAGGAAGAATGGGTATACCTTTGGTCAGTATGGAAAAACCAGAGGCAACACTTAAGGAATAAAAATAATCAAAGCCTCAACCTTTGCTTACAATCTTTATTGAAGTTATACAAAAAGAATTCCCCCAAAGTGAAAAAATACATTATATACAAAAACACTTTCCCTCAGGAGGAAGGCTATAAGCTCCCTTTCTTAACATGCAGTGCTTTCAACTGTAGCTCCAGTCTCCACCGTCCCCTCCACTGCTGCCCGACTTTCGGCCTGATTCTCGGTCTGGAAGAGAAACGGGGAGCCTCAGCCTAAGTGACCATTCTTGAGTCATTCCGTCCCAAGCAACTGAGTGAAACACGAGTTCCTGCCAACTGTGCACACGATCAAAACAGTGCATGGTCATTTCCAAAATGCTTGGTAATATTGGTCACAGAGTCGACACTTAAATGGAGATCAGAGTGGTGGGCCAGAGCACTTTTTTACTGGCTGGAAGGAGGCTGAGAAGGGGGTGCAGGTGGGTTTGGTTTTTTGTCTTTAGGAATCTGCTCAGTTACTCTGGACTCTGCAATCAGGAAATCACAACTGGCAATGCTCAGGGGACTAAGTGAAATGCTGGGAATCGAACCCAGGTGGGCCTATCAAACCCAGGCAAGTATCTTACCAAGTGGCACCATCTCTCCGGTCCCGGGAGCCTTTTGGGGGTGGGGGTTTAAGCTATACTGTACTTGTGGGGCCTATTTCCAGCTTGATGCCCACCTTCAGGGGTGTTCCACAGATCATGAAGTGCCGAGGGTCAAATTCCTGCATGCAAATAATGGGTCTCTGGCCCAGGAGCATCTGATGCATACATGCCTTTGATCCCTAACCTCACACGTTCTCCAAGCATAGTAAGGGTAAGGGGCGAACAAGGTGTGACCTGTCAATATATTCATTACCTACAGAACATATCCTATTTGCCAGAGGTAGCAGATTCCTAAACAATCATTGTTTTAAGATGCATTTAAGTAATCAAATAAGATGGAAAACACTCAATGGGAGTAGTTATTTCCCTGGGCCTTGAAAAGGGAGAATGAAGAGAACAAACTTGCTCTTATCTGCTCACCTCTTCCTGCATGTTTTCTAAAACGTCATTTCCACTGGAAACAGTATCCCCACCGCCTCCATTCACCTCTGGCTCTTGTTTGGCTTTCTTTGCATCCTCTTTCCTGGGGCTTTCTTCTTCTGGTTTCCGCTAAACAGACACATCACGAAGAGTTTTGGTTTTGTTTTTTTAAATCATGAAGATTTTATAAACGTGCCTCATGTTTTTAAAAGGAAGAGAGCAAAAAACACCTAACACCCTTCTCTCCTATGTCCTGTCCCCTTTCCTGCTCCGCTCCCAGGGTACCTCCCTTACCACAGAAGGTAACCTGTACTCTGTACTCTGAAGAATGAGCTGGTCTATGCCAACACAACAGTGTAGCATGCCTAATGGAATGGTGACGTATGGGTGGCAGGGAAATACGAAAATAACCTCATTCCAAGTATGAACCCTATATCTGAGTGAGGAAACAAAACAGAAGTTAAGATTCTTCCTTCAGAGGGAAGAGGCAGGACGTGGGGGTCTGCTGCTGAAGAACAATGTTGCCACAATTGTACCAAAATAGGAGAGCAGGTACTTGCTACCTTTGCATGCAGCAAGTCATGTGGTCCCGAGTCCTGCCAGGACTGATGCCTATGCACAGAGAATAAGCCCTGAGCACCATGGGATGTGCCCCTGACCACAAATCAAATATTGGGAATTTTTACAGAAATGTTCAGATGGGGGATTGGGATGGGGGCCACGGATGTCAAGTTAGAAGAAAATAAATGATAGCACACAAATTTACCTTCTTTCTTACAAGGTGGGAAATATCAGTCACACAATTTGATGAGGAAGCACCATCTGTTGGTTTTCTACTGGCAATCTGCCAAAAAGAAAGTATATTAACAAAGGACAGTGATATAGACAATACTAAGGTCTAATATAAAATACCAGGTCAGGGCAAGAGCTTGTATTTTGTATTCAGGAGACCAGATTCAGTACTCGGCACCACACAGACCTCGAGTACCACCAGAATGTTCAGAGAAGGAAACGAGAATAGTGCAAGCACCACTCGATGTGGCGCCCCGATCATAATACTCACCATGGAGACCGAACTGTCTCCTCCACTAGGAGTGAAACCTGAAGTAGCACTCTCCACCTGCATGCAAGACGGTAAATCCAAATGAGTCCTCACAGAGAACAGGAAGTTCAGGCACTGTCCTACACCTGCCATCCAAGCAACTAAGAGCTCAAATGCTCGGACTCCATACAGCAGAATGTCCAGAGACGATGCAACACACAGGAAGGGTGCAGGCATAAAATAAAACCTCCCATACCTGTAACTCCAAAACAAAGCTCAAAGTTCAGAGATCTCTATAACAGTCCAATGCATAGAACGACTCACCAATCTATATAGGAGTTCTCTAAGAGGGTAACAGCTACATTTGTTAAATAAATACCATTTGTTTCCTGCTGAACGAATATTTTAACACATAGGTGCTACTACCCCCATTTTGCAGATGAAGTCAACTAGAAGTGTTCTTCAGCTGCTGTGGATCCACAAATATAGAAAAGTTGAGAACCACTGGTCTGCCACCTCCTTGGTCAAAAGCACCAATTCCATGGACCATATGCAAGGCAGGTGCTGGTTTTCAATTGTAAAACCGTGATGGAATGCTGAACTAGGGCATCTTTGTTATGGTTACTAAATAAATGCGAACGGAACAAGAAGAGCTCATTAGGGAAACGGAGATTTGATCCCCCATATCACACGGTCCCTGAGCAGACTAGTGAGTAGCACCTAAGCATCACTGGTGGACTCAAAACCCAAGTAAATGTTAAGAATCATGATCAGCCACACAACAGCAGACACAGAATTCAAGGGGGCTGCAGCAGGGAGGGCCTTTCTTTCCCTTGCATGCAGCCGACCCAGGTTCGATCCCCAGCATCCCATATGGTCCACTGAGCACCATCAGAAGTGATTCCTGAAGTGCAGAGACAGGAGTAACCCCTGTGCAGTGCCAGGTGTGACGCCGACCCCCTAAAAAAAAGAAAAACAATTCAAACACACACCCCTTTCCTCACCAAAAATTTGAGAGGCCAGGACTGTGGTTTGGTGGCCAAGTTTAGAATTCAAACCAAAAAATTATGCTCTAGAATGACACCTCTCAACTGGCAGTTGTGACTGGCAGGATATTTAAAAAGGGCCAAGGCAAACAATGTGTAAGCAGGGGCCACAGAAAGGAAGCAATGGGGACCAGAGTGACAGAACAGCGGGTACAGTGCTTGCCTTGCACGCAGCTGACCCCAGTTCGATCCCTGGCATCCTATATGGTCCCCCAAGCACCACCAGGAGTGATCCCTGGATGCAGAGCCAGAAGCCCTGAACACCATCAGGCATGTGCCCTACACAAAAAAAGGGAAGGAAACAAGGTCAGAAACAGGCCAAATAAAGTTGGAAAACAATTAATTATTTGGGGACCACACCCAGCAATACTCAGGGGTCACTCCTAGTGGGGCCTGGGAGGCAACATGGGTAGATTCAACTAAATCAGCCATAAATCCTATTCACTGGACTATTCCTCAGGTCCTCCAGCTCCAGAGCATATTCTCATCAAGATTATACTGTTATACATTGTATTCTTTAATACTAAATTTCTTTTTTTTTCCTGTTTGGGTCACACTCAGCGATGCACAGGAGTTATTCCTGGCTCTGCACTCAGGAATTATTCCTGGCGGCGCTCAAGGGACCATATGGGATGCTGGGAATCGAACCTGGATCAGCCGCGTGCAAGGCAAACACCCTACCGCTGTGATCTCCAGCCCCAATACTAAGATTCTGAGCCATACCTGGCAGTGCTCATGAAATCAGTCCTGGTGGGGATCGGTGGCGGTAATTGGTGCTCCAGACTGAACCCAGGTCGGCTGTGTAAACATGCCCTATCCATTGAACCATCTCTCCAGCCACCCCTTAAAGTTACAGGTTGTCTTTAACCACCAACTCCCTGGAAACTAAATCATAAACTAAGATTCCTGGAAAACAAAACATTAGTCTGATGCCTTCAGTGTTCTCGAACAGTTTTCATAAACTTCAAAAGAAACCAAACCAACCAAAGTTGCTTTCAGAGCTAATTCAGCGACGTTCCCACTACGCTGGGACTCTTTCGCATCTTCTATCTTCTCTCTAATTTCAGGTAGCAGTTCCTTTAGTTCCTCGATTTCTTTCTCACATTCAGTAGAGGCTTCTCCCGCCTCCTTCACTTGCTCACTTAGTACAGCTACAAAAAAAACAACAGACAAGTGCTCAGTTTTAGTTATCAGAAAAACTCCTTTAAAATACAAAATTATCAATTACTGGTATTTATTAAGATCACTGTGAAACAGCTGACACTCACCCATTCTCTTTTCAATAACCTCAATGGATTTGCTAAACTGTGTCACTGCTTCATCGTACTGAGAGTTGTACCCATATGCCAAACCCAACTGATAGTGGGTCTCAGCCAGCAGACGATCATGGGCATCCAGGTACTGCTCTTGCAAGTTTAGGCAAGCCTGAAATTCCTCCACAGCTTGGACGTAATTCTCTAACAAAGGGAAAGAAAAAAGAAAAAACAGCAATGGGACACCCCTTCTAATATATAGCACTTCTAAAATTTAGGCCATTCTGAAGTTTCCATTTTCAGGATCCTTAAGTATAATAATTCCCCACCCCCAAGGGAGTCTGGCGGGAGGGAGACAAGCGGGAACACAGAACAGGAGGCAGGTGGCGCATGTGACCAACAGCACTTGGCCCTGGCACAGCATATGGTTCCCCCTAGTTCATACAGCCCCTGAGAAACAATCATCAGATGTAGCCCTCAAACCCCAGATAAGCACAGAAAATTCCACCCATTTTCAGTAGAGTATCATATTAGTGACTTTCTTTTCAAATTGTTTTTGGGCCACCCGTGTCGATACACAGATGTTACTCCTGGCAGTGCTCAGGGATAAATATGGGGTGCCCAAGGTATGGAACCCAAGTCGGCTGGGTGCAAGGGAAGTGCCCTATCTGCTGTATTATTGCTCAGCCCCTATTTCAGTGAATTTCAAGATCTAAACGTCTTGTCAATTTTTGTTAGGGGGCTACACCCAACAGTGCTCAGGGCACCATATCTAAGTGCTGGGGATCCAACCCAGGCCAGCCATGTGCAAGGCAAGCTCTTACCCACTGTACAACCTGTCCCAACCCTGCTGTCATTTTTAAGTCAAACACCACTAACTATCAGCGTAAGTTTTAGCAATTCAGGGGAGCAGGGCACTAGCATTTAAAGAACTGAAAGAGAAAATTTATTACCAGATTCAACACTAACTTCTCCAAGCTTAAGATGAGCTTGTGCAGCATAAAGCTGAGCTTCTTTTGTTTCTTGCCTGAAAGGAAAGGTGATGAAAATCTTAATGGCATTTGTGAAATTCCAACTACTTTCTATTTTCAATCAAGATCCCTACCTGAATTGCAAAAGCACCAGGATTTTTACCTTTTAAAAATGATCTTTGCTAAATCCAGCATATCCCAGGCAAGTTCTAGGTTCCCAATCTCTTCCTCTTCATTTTCATGAAAAGACTAAAATATATTCAAATCATTGGTATTACGATTAGTACGAGGCTGACAGCTTTACGTACAAATATAAATTTATATTTTAGTTTAAAAAAAAAGATTAAAACTGAATTTGCCCCTCTAAACCCCCCAAAATAGATTCTTCCTTACAGTTTACATAAAGTTTACCATGCCTCCCCCCCCGCCCCCCCCCCGTGCTGGGAACTGAACCCAGAGCCTCAACATGCAAGGCAACTGCTCTACCACTGAGGCACATCTCCACCCCCTTGCCACATTCGAAAGATGCCGGGGCTAGAGATACAACAGATCTACTCATCAGGAGTTCCCAGTTAATAAACAGCTATTCCTAGCCAAGCCTACACCAGCCAGTAAGCCACATTTCTTTAAGAACAGAGACAATGAGTGACGAGATAGTACAGAGGATAAGGAACTTCCCTTGCATGTGGCTGACCTAGGTTTGATCCCCCAGCACAGTCAGGTATGACTCCTGAGCACAGAGCCAGGAATAATCCATGAGCATCACCAGGTGTGGCCCTAACAACCAAATTAAAAAAAGAAAAAAAAAGCACACAATGACACTGAATGAATTCACCTTATTTTCAATAACTGAATCAGCTGGTGTTTCTTTAGCCTTATCATTTTCTTTGTCTTCCTCTTCTGAGCCTTCAGTTTCTGTAAGCAAAAATACCTCAATATTGAGAATACTTAGAAATATCCTCTAATAGAAATCCCAACCAACATGTGTCAACTTTCTCAAGGTTGGACAGGTGAAATGCTCAGCCAAGTCAGTTATAAATATAAATATTTAGCTAGATATAAATATAAAGCCTGTATGCAATGTATCTTAAATGGCTATGGCTTCAACCATCAGTGTACCCTCCCCACCACAAGGACTGAATGTTTCTCTCAAAAAAGTGAAGACTGGCCTTTATAGAGAATCCCAGTGTTATTCAACCAAGCGGGTGGAAGCTTAGTCAGTGTTCCTGTGTCTTCAGGTAACTTGTTCCATAATGCAAATAGTTAAGAAGGTGCCCAAAAATTGTCATTCCAATTCATTTAGAGCAACTATTCTTGAGGAGACCAGCTTTTCCACAACAAAACTGATCGAGAGAAAAAGCATAGCCCTCCCAATGGATATGCCACAGATGCAAGCCAGCTCTAGCAGATGAACTTGGATGAGCATTACCACAATTAGTTATTTATTCCAGCAACAGGTTAATACTTGTAGATTGATAAACACAGGTCACTGCCTGTAAAACACAGGTCAACTGCTTCTAATAAACATTTAAGTTAGAGTTCAGAATATCAAATGACTGAGTTTTGACCAACAATGCATAAATTGGGTATAAGGACTACCTCTGAAATCTTCCATTAAGCATTTTTAATTCCACCAAGAGTTCAATTATTAGCTCCTAATAACCAGCATCAAAGGGACGTAGATATGGCAACCAGGTTTCAGAGCCATGAAGTGAGGTGCAAAGACTGTAATCTGTCTAGCAATGAATAGATGAATGAGTAGGAAAGAGAGAAAACTGCTTGATTTTACAAGAGAGTAAGACAAATCAAAAAGTCTTAGCAAGAAGTCAATTACAAGTTACAAACTAACCTATACAAAACTGTCTTCCTCCTGCTGGCCATGTAATTTAGTGGTTGTGATTTATATATCATATGTCCCTACAACTAACACATTATTTATGTACAAATAACCAAGTGGGTTACATATACCTGAGGTTATACTGACTGGCAAAAAAGCCCCTCAGAGTCCAGCAGAAAATGCAAGGCAGGAAATATCTATATATTTAAGAGAATGTTTTTTAAAATGGGGGAAACATGCTAACTTGAAGGGAAAAGCAACAATACATTTTTATCTTAAATGTCACTTTGGAGTTGGGGGGGGGGGGGCGCCACATCTGAAGGTGTTCAGACAACCATATGGCAGCAGGGATCAAACTAAGGTCTCCTTAATGCACAGCATGTACACACATGCTATCTCCCATCCCTTATTCATATTCTGAATAAAGCAAGTAATAGATAATGTTGATTCCTAACCATACAAGAATGCTAGAAAGTTTAACTTCCAATTTGGCTTATCTACTTGGGAATTAATTTTAAATTACACCGACCTGGGCTAGATATAAAGGAAGAAATCCTTGCAGACAGGTAGGACGTTAGTTCAGGTCCATAGTTTGATACCATAAGGACTTCTAAGCATGACCAGGTCTCTCCTGAACAGTCAGTGATTGCCTCTGTGCATCACTGTGTGTGGTCTATACTAACTGTAAACCATTACAGAAATTATAAAAATTAAAATTTTAGAACCTGAAAAATAGCACATGAGGCAATTGCCTTGCATGTAACTAAATCAAATCTCCAGCACCACATGGTCCCCTTTGTACCACCAGGGACCACTCCTAAACACAAATAGCCACTAAGCCTGCCAGTGTGGCTCAACCCACCCCCCCCCCCCACTATCTTATCTGTAAATGCAACTTCTCACATAATTCTTGGTATTTAGAATGCACTATGCAATTTTAATGTTTCAGGTGAACCAAGTGCTGGGAGATGAACTAAGGAACTGAAGCTATCAGGACTAGTTTAATACTCAGCAACGCACGGAACCCAGCACTGAGCCAGGAACAGTCTATGAGCCTCATCAGGTCAATCAAAAATCAATCAGCAATCAATTACTTTTTATTAACAGTTTACACCTGTTTGAGAGACATGCTCAGAGAGTATGCATTACCTTTGTGATGGAGTCAGGTTAATGAGAAAGACATTACTTGATGCCTTTTTCAACCTGGGAACCTACATGTAGGTAATTAAAGGAAATGCCTTAATGTTCTCAGTGAGATCCTAAAATATCTCCCAAGTTTCTTGGGGGTGGGGGCCATATAGCTATGCTCACTGCTTACTCCTGCTGGGAATTAAGTGGACTATATGGGGTGCCCGGGATCGAACCTGAGTCAGCCTAGTGCAAGACAAATGCCTTACCTGCTATACTATCACTTCGTTCCCTGAATACAGTATTCCGAGCTAGTGCACTTTGTTTCAAAAAATTGTATTTTACAAACATTTCTTGATTTTGCAGTCTCACCAAAATATTAACAGCAGAGAGATGTATAAATCAGATTCTTTGGTTATTCCGCAATCATGTCGGTTGACTTTATTTTGTGTACTGACTACATAGAATAAACTTAGCTCACAGACTAGAAAATCTTTATGCCCTAAATCTTCAAATTTTTCACTTGAAAAATCACATTCACTCTGATAATTAGAAAAAAGCAGACCATTATTTGTATTATAGACAGTGACAATCCAAAAGGTGTTTGTGGCAAGCTAATTCTGCTAGAGTACTAAAAATGCCCAACACCACGCCAGTCAGCAGTAGCCAAAGTATCATACCACATGCTACTATATGTGGCCCAACTCCCAAAGTACTATAAAGTACACAGTCAGAAAGATAGTACAGCAGGTAGGGGAGTGTTTGCCTTGCACACGGCTAACCAGAAGTCCAAACGCCAACAATCCATATCAACCCCAATCCCACCAGGAGTGATCCCTGAGCAGTCAAAACTAAGCCTTCAGCACCCCAAGATGTGGGAAGGGGGAAAGGGGGAAGAAAAAGAGGGAAAGAGTGAGGGTAGGAAAGAGCGAAGGTAGGAGGAGGAGAGACAGGGGAGAGAGAATTGAAATTAAGATCCCAAAGCCTTTTCCACTCCAGAAGCCCATGTTCTCGCTTGAATCTTTTCCTTTCCCCTTCCATTTCCCTGTATCTATTTTACTTCACTCAAAAAAAAAAAAAAAAAAAAAAAAGACAACAATGAATTAAAAGCCTGAGCTGCATATTCCAGCCATTCTCTTGCTGGCTATGTAACATAAGGCAAATACCCCCCCCACTTGGGTGGAGGGGGCCACACCCAGCCTTGTGCAAGGCAAAGGCCCTACCCGCTGTACTATCACTCCCACCCTGAACAGGCAAATCTAACCTCTTCCAGTCACATTTTCTGTGAAAAAGAAACTGGGGGCCGGAGTGATAGCACAGCGGGTAGGGCGTTTGCCTGGCACGCGGCCAACCCGGGTTCCATTCCCAGCATCCCATATGGTGCCCTGAGCACCACCAGGAGTAATTCCTGAGTGCAGAGCCAGGAATAACCCCTGTGCATGACCAGGTGTGACCCACTGTCACTGTCCTCCCATTGTTCATCAATTTTCTCCAGCGGGCCCAGTAACATCTCCGATGTGAGACTTTGTTGTTATGGTGTTTGGCTTATCAAATACGTCAGGGGTAGGTAGCTTGCCGGGCTCTCCGAGAGGGGCGGAGGAATCGAACTCGGGCCGGCCATGTTGGCTGCGTGCAAGGCAAACGCCCGACCAGCTGAGCTATTGCTCCAGCCCCAGGTGTGACCCAAAAAAACAAAAACAAAAACAAAAATTTTAATTAAAAATAAATAAAAAATTTAAAAAGGAGTTTCTGGCCAGAGCTGTAGTGCACTTGCCATGCATACTCATGAGATCCTTGGTTTGATCCCCAGCACCCCCATCCCTCCCTCAATGAGCCAGAAAAAGAGCACAAAGGTTACTGAATCCTAACACATGATATGGGCCCAGAGCGATAGCACAACGGTAGGGCGTTTGCCTTGCACGCAGCCAACATGGCCCACCCGAGTTCGATTCCTCCACCCCTCTCGGAGAGCCCGGCAAGCTACCGAGAGGATCTCGCCCGCACGGCAGAGCCTGGCAAGCTACCCGTGACGTATTCGATATGCCAGACACAGTAACAACCAAGTCTCCAATGGGAACGGTACTTGGCCCGCTCGAGCAAATCGATGAACGAGAGGGCCTTTACTTTTACTTTACTTTAACACATGATATACCCTTTTGATCCCTACTCCCACCAAACACTGCTAGATGTGACCCTGGAAGCCCTAGCACCTTGGAACACAGGATCCTTGCAGCACCTGCATCCTCATATTTAACTGCAGGCCATCACTCCAGATACCCCAAAAGTACCACCAGGAAATCTGAGACGGGTAAAGGGAGAGATAAAAGTTGCTTCTTAATCAGTGTGAAGGTAATATAAGAACAATACATTTATATAAGATCTGAGGCCAGACAGAGGGACAGTACCACAAGTAGGGAGTCTGCCTTTCAATGGACAACCCAGGTTTGATCCCCAGTATACCATATGGTGCCTCGAGCCGACTAACAGATGTGCCCTCCACAATCCAAATCAACATCAGATCTAGGGTTGGAAACCTGTATCCTGACTTACTGCCTGACCCTAAACAGGTAACCACTAAGGTTGAATTTACATACCATCTACTACAAAGTATTATTTTCCAACCAAAAGTAACTATGTCAGAGATCAATGTTACCCTGTGATTCAAAGTCTAAACTAATTCAAAATCTGTTATATACAACAGATATTTGTATATAAAATATGTTCATCATCGTTAAGATTAAGACATGGGAGAGTTTGTGTTTCGCTTTATTTTCTTAATAAATTCAGTTCTTGGGGCTGGAGAGATAGCATAACGGGTAGGGCGTTTGCCTTGCACGTGGCCGACCTGAGTTTGATTCCCAGCATCCCATATGGTGCCCTGAGCACCGCCAGGAGTAATTCCTGAGTGCAGAGCCAGGAGTAACCCTTGTACAACGCTGGGTGTGACCCCAAAGAAAAAAAATAAAGTTCTGTGCTTTTACCAAAAAGAATTCTTTGTTTAATTGATAACCCAATCATGATGCCATTTAACCAATTCACTCCAGGTTAACAAACTTTCACTGACTGGAGTGCAGGGACCTGCACACAGGTCAAAGAATTTACATGAATGAGCTGCAAATACTCATAATGGTCTTCTAGAGAACTCTTAAAGCAGTCTGGCAATTATGTGAAGACTATACCTGTGATTATTAATACCAATGTTAGGTGAACCTTTGACAGTAGAATCCTCAAATGATAGCACAACTCAAGGCAGACGTGCCAATTACGTAATTACTAATTAGAGGCTTATATTCTTGATAAAAATTAATCACAATTGACCAAAACTATACAAAGCACCCCACCACTTTATAATTTGCTAATACTCAGTTCAGCAGCCAAAGCAAGCATGAAAACGAGGGGCAAAGCAGCAAGCGAGCTACAAGTTTTCAAACGATCTTTAAGATTACTCGCTATTGTGAATAAGCCTCTCAACACTGAAGACTACAGAGGGACACCAGAATCTTACACTGGTGATAAACGCCTTTCATTAAATGGCATGCCTGGTTAAGTGTACCAGCTCAGGGGATTCTACTGCTCCAAACCTGCTTTCCAAAGCAGAGAAAAGGAACCAGGTGAACAACAAAGAAAATCCATAGGCATGCAAGTGAACATCCATTCAGCATTCTCTGCCAGCCTCCTCCACTACTCCTTACTATTCCACCCCTTTTATTACCTTTTTAGCCTCTTTCATTGGCTAGTGTGACGTAAGTTAATGATTGCTAGCCAAGTCTCACAAATCAGAGCCTATTTTGCAGTTAGTAGAAGCATTAGTTTATAAGCCAGCTAAGAAGAAACGCCTTAACTTGCTTACAACCTTAAAATTTTATTTAGAAAAAATCCCAATTATTATTTTTAGCCCTTTCCAAACCCAAAGGCAGACAGAAAATTCTGAATGGAAGGCTAACTTTTACCCGTGATTAGTGTGTCAAATCCAGAGTATACTCCACCCACTGCAGCTCTTTCATATCCCATGTTACCTTCACCCTCTTTCATCTGTTCTTCTCTCTCTTCTGTCTCTTCATTAGCAGCTAGCTTAACTTTGTCTTCAGGAGATTCCTCAGTATCCCCCTGGGTTACTTTGTTCTCAACCCCATCTCCAGCTGCCTCAGCTTCTTCTACAGACAACTTAGTATCCTGACTAGGTACTATTTCTGCACTGCCCTCACCTAATCCTGAGCCATCCTTTGTTTCTGTCACTCCTGCAGAAATCTCTGTTTCCATAACAGTCTGATCTCCTGCAACTGACAATCCATTAAATGTACCATCCTCAGGAAGAGCTGCGGTTTCCTGCCCTGGCTTCTCCTTGATTTCTGACTCAGCTCCTCCAGCTGGTGCCTCTGGACCTGCTGCCGTCACCTCCGGCGACTCTTCAGCAGGAATTACTTCTTGTGCGAACATCGGCGCAAGAGCGGCCTTTCCTGGCTCATTTTCAGGGGCAGCTACCTGCGTCTCTGACTCATCACCGCCGATATCAACTGTTGGGTCTACAGACTTCGCTTCTACCTCCACTGTAACACTCTGCTTTTCTAAATTCACAACAGGTTGCTCTTCTGAGGCTTCTTCTGGCTTCTCCTTTACGTTTACAAGTACTTCTTCCTGCTTCTCCTGAACAGCTTTTTCAACGTCCTCTTCTTGAGCATCCGTGCCGGAAAGTGTTTTTCCCTCTTCAGCATCTGGTACTTCCTGCTCTGACTTCACAGAAGTGACATCAGTTTCTTTCAGTCCTTCTGGTGCTGATGTTCCTTTTGCCTCTTCAGTGGCTTCAGTTAATTGATCTGAAGTTGATTCAGGTTTTCCCAGTAGTTTCTCTGAAGATTCACTGACATCCATATCTTCTCTTCCACCCTTCTCCATTTTGATGTCCTGTTCTGTATCAGCTTCAGGCTTTGCCAGAGACTTTTCTTTTAGTTTTTTTGCTTCTTTTTCTTTCATGGCGTCATAAACCTGTTCTCTCAACTCGTCCCTTGCTTCCTCTACATGGTTAAAGAACATGAAGCATAAACACGTCTTCGAGTTTAACGATAAAGGTATAAATGGAAACTAAAAATGCATACCCTTTAAGCCCTCAAAACAACCTCGCTTTAATTTTAGCAGATGACCTAAACATTCCTGCCCCTTAGAAAAGCAAAGGGCAAAGTTCAAGCTAGCAGAGCAGCTTACCGCAAAAGAAACCCAAGCTCCTTAATGTTTTACTTGAGCATTCGGATTATCAGTTAGGTAAGAGATGCCAAGCTTTAAAGGCTCCTTTTAAACATTAGAAACTTTCAGCCAATACTTTAGAAATTAGGACTTCTTGAACACAGAAAGAAAAGTGAAAAAGCTCCCAAAGCAATGCTATTAATGCTATTATGTAACTGAGCAGCACAGACTTAAAATTTTACATAAGAATATTTAGCTTCTGTAATATTTAAGTACCAATCTTATTTGGGTTAAGTTATCCTCTTACGAAAGTCTGCTGTCAGTTTCAATGACTGGTTATTTCTACTGCAGTCACCAGCAAATATAAGAAGGCAGGTGCCATCCCAGGCATGTTATAGCAGAGATGCCCTATTGCTATCACTTGGGTACAAAAAATAAACGTCGCATCTCTTGAATACCACATGCAACTCCACATACCATCTACGTTATCATTATTTTCTACCAGAGATTCATCTTCTGCTTTGTCTCCTTCCTCCTCTTCCACATGCACACCTTCCAGGGCATTTCCCAACACACCATTCTCCATTCTAGGAGAACAAAAGAAGAAAGCACCAAAAGTATGATGGCTGGAACCTAACAATTTTGCTAAATAGATACTCATTTTTCAATTAATACTCCTATATTATAAAAGCAACAGGAAGCAAGTGCAGAGACTATACATTCTAAAATTCATAGAAGAAAAGTAATGATCACTACACATCTAATAGATTATGGTAGTAAGAGCGTTAAGAGGAAATAAGCATACCCTACCATCTAGCAACCTGGAAAATAAATTGTCAAAAGAACAAGATCTGGGCTGGAGAGGTAAGTACAGCGTCAAGGCACTTGCTTTGCATGTGGCTGTCCTGGGTTTTATCCCGGGCACCACATATGGTCCCCTGAGCACTTGAGGTAAGCCCTGAGCACAAGATTTAGCTCCAAAATTGAAAAAAAAAAAATTAAAAATTTTTAAATTAAACCTCCCAACTTCACATCTGTGCTTTCTTCTCTGTATCACCAAGTATTCCAGCAAGATTTACATTACTTCCCAGGAAACATGCACAAGCACCTAATAAATAGCCCCAGCACTGCTGGACGGGAAATGGTCCCCAGATTCCACAAGCACTGCTGGGGAGGCCTAACAGCAAATCAGTATGTTCCACATGATTATAAAATTTATTTACCAGAAATGAAATTAAATAGATTATCATTTTTATACTATCAAATACTCTTAAAAGTTATTTACTTAATAAACCCAGGAAGAAAATAGATACTAATTTTCCAATTGTCTACTTACTTTGGGTTTTGGCCACATCTGGTGGTACTCAGGGGTACCACATGCAGTACTAGGATTTTGAACCAGGGTTGCAACTACTATAGCTGCATGCAAAGCAAATGCCAAACTCCTGTACTATCTCTCCAACTCCTAGGTAACTAGGTAAGACAACTTATTAGACATTCTCACAAGCTAGTGTTTTCATACTGTCCTTAATTCATCCTTGTTAAATATGAGTTGGGGGTTGGAAGGGACAAAGCAGTAGTACACAGGGCAGGGCACTTGCCTTGTACACAGACGACCCAGGTTTGATTTCCCCAGCACCCCATATGGTTCACTGCTAGGGGTGATCCCTGAGTGCAGAATCAGGAGTAAGCCCTGAGCACAATCAGGTGTGACCCAAAATCCAAAACCAGACATAGTAAAGATGATAGGGCACAGCTGAGAATATATTTAAAGATAATCCATCTAGGGGCCGACAGGGCAGTAGAGTTGGACAGAGCACTTGCCTTGCAAGCAGCCAACCCAAGTTTAATCCCCAGCTTCCCATATAGTGCCCTGAGCACCACCAAGAATGATGCCTGAATAGTGCGCCAAGAGTAAGCCCTGAGCATCACCAGGCGTGGCCCAAAAACAAAACAAAAAGGTATTAAGGTAGGAAAGATAGCACAAAGGTTAAGGCACTTCCCTTACATGGAACTGACTGGGTTTGGGCCCAGTACCGCTCAGTCCCCTGAAAAGAGCCACGTAGCCCCTTCATAATGCCAGTTTTAAGGGCACCAAAAAAACTGCCAGTTTCAGCAGCACCTAGTACACTGACGCTCTGTGGCGAAAAACAAAACAAGACGGCCAGAGAGATAATACAGGGAATTAAGATACTTGCCTTGCAAGCAGCTGACCCTGGTTGAGTTCTTAGCACCACGTAAGACATAAGGTCCCAAGCATTGCCAGGAATGATTCTGAGCACCACCAGCTGTGGCCCAAGCCACCCCCCAAAAAGGTTTTCCTTGGCTTCTAACATCCTCAAAAGTAAACACCTAGCACAAGAGGAAGAGCCCTTGCCTGGTACACCACTGACCTGAGTTCAATCCCAGGCACCCCATATGGTGCCTAGAGCTAGGAGTAACTTGAGCACTGCTGGTATAGCCCCAAAACAAAACAAAAAAAAAAATCAACATCTAACGATAATTTTGCATTAACAAGTTCATGTCAGTATGTACCACTAGTGCACTAGTGGCTCACACTTTGATGTGGCTTAATTAACACAAATTATAGCATATGAAGTGTCTTTCAAAGCTTTAATCATGCATTTTGTCGGACCCCAGTTTGACTCCTGGCACTGCACATGCTGCCTAAGCACCACCAGAGTGGCCCAAAAACAAAAAAAACAACTTCCATTAGTAAGGGATGATAATTCGGCAGGCCAAGCATTTGCCTTGCATGCAGGTGACCAGGGTTCAATTCCCAGCACCCCATCCCTACGGTCACCCAAATGATGCCAGAAGTGACCCCTGTGCAGTCAGTTATGGGTAAGCCCCTGAACACTGCCCTGGTGTTCAGTGGCCCAAAAATCAAAACTGTGCATCAGTTTTTCGTGGTTCTTCCAAACTCCCTCTAAAATGAGTCTCAGCTCATATGAAATCTCAAAGTCAATAAAACTGTTTTAACAAATCTTTTTTAACAGATCATTAAAGGTTATGCAGAACAGCTTACAAACTGCAGCTTAAAAGACATACCTTGCCAATTCCAAAAGTGATTTCCCATAGAAAAAGAAGGCTTCGCCACACTCATTAGCTGTTTCTCCATACTTCTTACCTCTATAAAGAGAACAAACATCTAAGATCTGAATTAACATCTAAGCTACAACATTTATTTCCAGTTCTTTATCAAATGACACCAGTACAGAAAGTCCTGCTAGAAAGACCCCTCCATACTCTCTAAGACAAAATCTAAAAAGCAATGAATGATGTTTCAATCCCCGCAAAGAGGGTCAAAGACATTGCGGGACGTAAGGCACTTATCCTGCATGTAGCCAGCTTTGGTTCATTCCCAGCAATGCATATACTCACTCCATTAAGCACCACCAGGCCACACCTGAGCAGAAAGCCAAAACAGACCTGAGCACTGCCAAGTGGCTCAACTCCCACTCCACCCCGACAGAAAAAATAAATCTGGGGTTAGGAAGGGAAGAGAAGGAGGATGCTTTTAAGTTTTTTTGGTTTTTTTTTTTTTTTTGGTTTTTTTGGGGTCACACCCAGCAATGCACAGGGTTTACTCCTGGCTCTGCATTCAGGAATTACCCATGGTGGTGCTTGCCCTACCTGCTGTGCTGTTGCTCCAGCCCCCGGATGCTAAAGTTTATGTTGCCTATCTTTTGCTGATAAAGGGTAGCAGGTAGGGCATTTGCCGCGCATGTGCCGACACAGGTTCAATCCCTGGCACCCTGTATGATCCCCTGACCCCACCAGGAGGGATCCCTGAAAGCACAACTGTGTATAGTTCTATAATCTTCTAAAAATCTTCCGGGTTATAATTTAAGATCAAACTACATTCACAGGGGCTTGAGTGGTAGCATAGCAGGTAGGACGTTTGCCTTGCACGCAACGAACCTGCACCGCCAGGAGTAATTCCTGAGTGCAGAGGCAGGAGCAACCACAGTGCAGCACAAGGTGTGACCCAAAAAGAAAAAAAAAAAACACCTGCATTCACTGGCGTTTAGTTAGGAGATCACTGAGCCCAGAGCCAGGCCCGAGGCACAGCTGGGTGTGCACCCCTCCAACAACAAAAAAGGACAGTAAGATCCATAGAAAGACAGTATGATTAAGAGCAAGAGTATTCTTTGTCCCTTAGTTTGGCTCACTAGGTTTTAATCCCTTTTAACTTTGGGGGGAAATCCTCCAAAGCATTGCAGAGAGGGGAAGGAACAAAGGCACCCAATTGGCAAATTCTCAGCCAGTTGAGCTAGCAGTTTAATGCAATGCTGCTTGGGTCCTGCAGTACCAGGGATACCTAAGTCCTGGCAGAGCTGGGGGCTTCCAGGACTGCACCCAACAATGCTAAGGGACCATAAGGAGCCAGGAATCAAACCCAGATGAGACACGTGCTAGACATGTGCCCTAACCACAGTACTATCTCTTGTCCCTACTTCTAATTTTTAATTATAAAATCTGGTTTAAACAAATTACTAAATCTGTTATATTTCTCCTCTACAAAATGGAAACATTACAAATTTAGTAAGCTACCCTAACAACTGGCTGAGCACATTCTTTACATCTGGGTGGCATCGGTTCAATATCTGGCACTGCATAGTCCCCTGAGCACCACTTAAGGCCCATCCTTCTAAACAGAGCCAGGAGTAGCCTCTGAACACTGCTGAAGGTGGCACCCCCCCCCCAACTTCAGGATAACACTGGTTTGTGCTTTCTCTTCTACCTTAGAGAGCTTAGGTTTACTGAGTAATGACCATCACAATGCTCCCGAGGCACTCCCATTTCCTCAGTATTCACCTTTAATCTTTCTGTTCTCAGCTTTCTCTACCTGTTAATCACTCATTTCCCCTAAAGGGTACCTGTGTGACTTGTAAAGTCAAATTCCTCAGAAATCTCTGGATTTGTATTTAAGTGAAATATTGCTTTTCTCTTTCCCTTATGTCCTTTGCATAGTTCACTTCAGAGCAATGTTCTTTTTGCACAGACACAGGAAGACAGTTAATGCTATGCTTTTGTAACTTGGGAGTTAATTGACTCCAAATAATATTTACTCCTGGGCATCTGTCATATGTACTCGACTTAAGCCTCAGTTGCCCTTAGTTCCTAGCACCCCAAAGACAGGGTCCCGAAGAAGGGACTGGGTCAACCCAGAGTAAGCTGTAAACTACCCTGGCATCAAAACAGGACAGGCCAAGCACCATAATACTTAACTATAAGTTAAGAGCATGGTCATGGACAAATTCTTCATGATCCAAAGAGAAACAACTGGACAAGGACTCTACTGGGGTTTGGAAAGACTAATCTGGTCTAAGCACTATAGTCTGGGATCTATAGCGAAATGTCCCCAAGAGAGCCATCCTTTAAGCTTAATATATCTCTTACCAGGTTGGAGAGATAGCACAGCAGGTAGGGCATTTGCCTTGCACATGGCCCACGTGGCCGACCCGAGTGCGATTCCTCCGCTCCGGTAAGCTACTGAGAGTATCTCGCCCGCACAGCAAAGCCTGGCAAGCTACCTTTGATGTATATTCGATATGCCAAACACAGTAACAAGTCTCATGATGTAGACCTTACTGGGCGTTACTGGGCTTGAGCAAATCGATGAACGGGAGGACAGTGCTACAGTAATGTATCTCTTACTGTGTCCATACAAAATGACTAGAAAGATTATTAAGAAGTAAATGTAAGGTGACTGCTGAAATGGTTATGGACTAAGGAAAGGAGAAAAAAGGCCTAGATGAAAAATTCCTAGGGGATCTCCTGGCAGATCTTTGTCTTAGAAGAGCTTTCCTGGAAGGAAGGGCTTTACATATGTTGATTGTGCTATCTAACCTAGGTGTGGTTTATCCCCCAACCTTGGGAGGTGGAGGTCTGGACTAAGGCTTGCAAGACAAAGCTCAGAGAGACGAACATGGGGGACAGAGGAATACACTGAGACCCGGGAGGAGGCAGAGGGAGACGGGATTAGAAAAAACTGCAACTGATCACCAACCAGCCTGGCAGCCCTGTTCCCTCCTTCATGCATCTTCTGGTAGTGGCAGCAGGCCGCGGTGGGGAAGTGGCTCGTGGCCACCTAATGCATGTAGAAAGAAAGAGCGGGAGGAAGAGCTTGCTGCTGCACACCCATTTATTTTTTGAATACACATCCCCCCCTAAATACTGTTAAGACTAATTCAATATGCACATTAAAACACAACTCAAGAGCTGGAGAGATCTTAAGGAGCTAAGTGCATCTTTGCATGCAAGAGGCCCAGATTTGGGAACAGAGATAGTACAACAGGTAAGGGAGTAAGTATGCAGCTTGCGTGGGCTTGATTCCTAGTATCCCATATGGTTCTGAGTCCTGTCAAGAGTGGTCTCCAAATTAAAAAGGCACAAGGAAGAAGGACTGAAGAAATAGTATAGCAGGCAGGGCGCCTGCTTGCCTGTGTACAAAGTCAACCTGGCTGAAACCCTGGCAACCCTTATGGTGCCGAGTCCTGCCAGGAGTGATCCCTGAGCACAGAGCCCAGAGTAAATCCTGAGCACCACTGAAAAAACTACCGGATAGTGGGAGGGTGGGGGACGGGCAGTTTAAAGTGCTTATCTTGAATACAACCAAAATCAAGTCAATCCCAGTCATACACTAAATATGGTCCCCTGGGCTCCCCGAGATGTGTCCCCCCAAAAACAAAACCATATCCAGGGTTAGAGAGAGTTCAGTAAGCTTGAGCATATGTAAGTTTATGTTTAATCCCATTCACTACATAGTCCCCTGAGCACTACAAGAAACCCTGGAGGGGGAAGATGGGTATGCGCAGGAACCACCTGATCCCCACCAGATGTGGCCCCAAAACCAGAAAGTGTGGGGGCAGGGGGTGGGTGGGGGGGTTCTATTGGGAAATAGAACACAGGAGGCCCTGTTCAAGAGCTTAGTGTAGTTCATAAACAGTCAAATATGGCCAAAATTTTTAAATACACATACCACATTTATAACATTTCATATACAAGAGAATCACGCATTTTAAAATTAAAAACCTTAATCAACATAAAATGCTGGCTTTACTCTCAGCACATCAGTAAATAAATAACAGATTTTGAAGTGTGACAAAAGAAGGCAGAGTATAGTAATCATGCAACAAACTAACATTGATAGTCAGGAATAATTTCATTTTGATACTGAGAATGGGAATGAAGAAAGAACAGACTAATAGGACCTAACTAACTGAACAGAAGAAATGAAGCCAGGTTTTTTTTTCTTTTTGGGTCACACCCAGAGATGTACAGGGTTTACTCCTGGCTATGCACTCAGGGATTACTCCTGGCAGTGCGTGGGGACCATATGGGATGCCAGGGATTGAACCCGGGCTGGCCGCGTGCAAGGTAAATACCCTATTCAATGTACTATCGCTCTGGCCCCGATGCCAGGTTTTAATCCAGTAAACCCCAAACCTAAAACTCAGCTCTAAGTATCAACAAAAATGGCATATAAGTGCAATCAACCAGAAAACAAATGGTTGCAACTGCTAGCAACATTAGGGGAAATTACCTAAAACTAAGAGATTTGAAAGATTACTGACCTAACTAAAGATTACTGATCTAACACTTTTCCTCAGTTCCAGAAGTACAATCTAACAGTCTTTACAAGTTATAAAATAAGCTTTTGAGGCCAAAAATATAGTGAACATGCCTTGCATGCTCAAACCCATATGGTTCTCTGTTGCCCAAGTAGAACTGGAAAGAGACCAAGAATAGCAATACATATATATGGGACAAAAAAACCTACGTGGAGGAAAACGCTATTATTATAGCAGTATTGTTGGTAGGGTAGCCAGTCATCATGGTTTGCTTGGGAGTGAGCCATTTCCCAGGACAGATTACTAAAATTGGAAGTCCCAGAACCAGAATAAGGAAGTCATGCTAACAGTAGTAGCTGGAAAATAAATTACCTTAACTGAATGCTGATATTGCTCAGTGACATGCAGATTTTACAATGTTATAGGAATAACTCCCAAATGAAAAAAATTGATCAAATATTTAAAAAACTGTTGCTGGGGGCCAGAGCGATAGCACAGCAGGTAGGGCGTTTGCCTTGCACGCGACCGACCTGGGTTCGATCCCCAGCATCCCATATGGTCCCACAAGCACCGCCAGGAGTCATTCCTGAGTGCAGAGCAGAGCCAGGAGTGATCCGAGCATTGCTGAGTGTGACCCAAAAAGCAAAAACAAAACAAAACAAAACAAAACTGTTGCTGGACCAGAACCACAGTACAGCGGATAGAAGCTAACCCAGACTCAATCTTCAGCACCCTATATGGTCCTCTAAGCACTGAAGTGATTCCTGAGCCTAAAGGCAGGAGTAAGTCCTAAGCACTGCCAAACATGGTCTAAAAACAAAACCAAAACCAAAAAGATTATCTTTATTCCTTTCCCCCATTGAACAGAACATATTTTGCCTCAAGTTTAATAGAAACATACTATTACATCAAAACAAAATATAGTACTTACAAAAGACTAGCTGCTTCCTGGAATGCATTGACAGCTCCTGGAATATCCCCCATCACCAGATGTTTCTGTCCTAAACCCAGTAGTTTCTTTGCTTCACTATCCACATCCAAACTGCAAGAAAGATGTTTCACATACTTTTAAAAACATTTGAAGATCTGCTACATTTAAGTTTCTGTAACTAGTTAAACCTTTGAAAGTAACCTAACAGACTAAGCTAGTTTATCTGTCACTGCAAAAGCAAAAATCTCAAAGACAAGATTTTCAGAATATTTTTCTTCTCTTTTTTTGTCTTTGGGTTATACCAGGCAATGCTCAGGGGTTATTCCTGGCTCTGCACTCAGGAATAACTCCTGACGATGCTCAAGATCGAACTGGAATCAGCAGCGTGCAAGGCAAATGCCCTATCTCCTGTACAATCAGTCCGACCCAATATTTTCTCTTAAAGATAGTCTAGAAACTGAATGCTGTAATACTTGTTTAATCAAATAAGAAATCATTAAAACAATACTAACACAAAGAAAAAGCAAAGAAATATTAAGATAAACAGGGTTTCCCGGGGCTGGAGAGACAGCACAGGTGGGTAGGGCGTTTGCTTTGCACTCGACCGACCCAGGTTCGTTTCCCAGCATCCCATATGGTCCCCTAAGCACCGCCAGGAGTAACTCCTGAGTGCAGAGCCTGGAGTAACCCCTGTGCATCACCGGGTGTGACCCAAAAAGCAAAATTAAATAAATAAATAAACAAACAGGGTTTCCCAATCCAGATCGAGACAATTTAGTAACTGCCATATATTCATATAGATCTGTGCAACAGAATACAAAACTAGAGTCAAGGAGATAATCTAGAGAAATTTTCAGATGCTGTTCACAGGTTTTCTACAATTTAAAATTTAAAACCATAAAATTTCCAAGAAAATCTGTCTTTGGTTTTGGCAAATACCTCTTAAATGTGACTCAAAAAAAGCATAAGCTATAAAAAGTTAAAATATTGGGACTGGAGAGATAGTACAGAGGGTAAGGTGCTTGCCTTGCAGGCAGCTGACCCAGGTTCGATCCCCAGCATCCCATATGGTACCCCAAGTACTACTGCCTGGAGTAATTCTTTAGTGCAGAACCAAAAGTGGCCACTGAGAATCGCTGGGTGTGGCCCCAAAACCAAAAGAAAAGCAAAACAATTATATCTTAAAAAAAAAAAAAAACACTGCCTTCCCCCACTCCACAGATGCAATTCAAGTGTTCAGCTTTTAGACACGCTTTCTAATTATTTATCCTTGTCTTGTGCAACACACCAAGCAGTGCTGAGGCACAACTCGGGAAACCATATGCAGTTCCAGGGATCAAACCAGGCCATATGCAAGGCAACACCTTAACCTATATATTTAGTCTTTAAACCAAGCTTTCAAGTTAGCAATTATACTTTCCAAAAAATTCTACTGTTTATCTTATTCAATGCTAGGCACCCAGTATGGTCGCCCAAGCCCCACCAGAAGTGATCCCTGAGCACTATCAGGAATGGGCCACAAACAAAAAATATTTTTACTATGCTTGCCTCTGCTTAACAACTATCGTCACAGGCCAGAAAGCTCAATAAAAGATGAGTTTTGCATGCAGGAGTCCTGGATTTGATCCTGGACACTGCATAATCCCCTGAGTACCATCAGAAGAAAACCATAAGCACAAAGCTGGAAGTCCCCAGCACCCATGGGTGTAGCTCCAAAATGGAATGAAATGGAGGAACTACATGAAAAGTATATTTAGATAAAATTTAGATTTAGACTTTAAAAAGAGTGACAGGGGCTGAAGTGATAGCACAGCGGGTAGAGCGTTTGCCTTGCACGTGACTCAGGTTCGATTCCCAGCATCTCATATAGTCCCCCGAGCACCGCCAGGAGTAATTCCTGAGTGCATGAACCAGGAGTAACCCCTGTGCATCACTGGGTGTGACCCAAACAGCAAAAAAAAAAAAAAAAAAAACCTTTCCAAAATAGGTTTAGGAAAGATATTTCCAAAATATCTAGGTCAAAGAAATAGTTAACAAAAACAGGCTAGTTGCCAGGCATGTCAAAATACCAAATAAGGGAATAAAGACCATTAAATTTTAATCAAATGCAAACTATATGTAGCTATCACTGTCAGGACCCACTACTTATATTACAAATCCCTTAATAATCATACCTCTCTATTTTATCTGCTGAGGTAGAAGGAGCAGGAGAATCTTCTTCAATTCTGTAAAGGAAAAAAAAAAGTAAAATGACTTTTTTAATTTTATTAAATCACCGTGAGATGGTTACAAGCTTTCATGTTTGGGTTCAATCACACAATGATCAAACACCCATCCCTCCACCAGTGCACATTCCCCACCACCAATATCCCCGGTATACCACCCCCTGCCTCCATGGCAGACATGATTCCCCACAATCTCTCTACTTTGGGGCATTATGCTTTGCAATACAGACACTGAGAGGTTATCATCTACTTTCTGCACACATCTCCCATCCTGACCGATTCCTCCAGCCATCATTTTCTTAGTGATCCCTTCTCTATTCCAGCTGCCTTCTCCCCTCTGCTCGAGGCAGGCTTCCAGCTATGGAGCAATCAATCTGTCCCCTGTATCTACTATCCTTAGGTGTCGGCCTCATGTTATGTTGTTTTATACTCCACAAATGAGTGCAGTCCTTCTATGTCTGTCGCTCTCTTTCTGACTCATTTCACTTAGCATGATACTCTCCATGTCTATCCATTATAAGTAAAGTTCATGACTTCATCTCTCCTGACAGCTACATAGTATTCCCTTGTGTAGATGTACCAAAGTTTCTTTAACTAGTCATCTGTTCTAGGGCACTTGGACTGTTTCCAGATTTTGTCTATTGTGAACAGTGCTGCAATGAACATATAGGTACAGATGTGATTTCTACTGTGCTTTTCTTGCATCCTCGAGATATATTCCCAGAAGTGGTATTGTGGGGTCATATGGAAGCTCAATTTCTAGTTTTTGAAGAACTGTCCAATTGTTTTCCAGAAAGGCTGGACCAGAGGGCATTCCCACCAACAGTGAAAGAATGTCCCTTTCCCCCCCAACATCCACGCCAGCACTGGTTGCTTTTGTCCTTTTGAATGTGTGCCAGTCTCTGTGGTGTGAGATGATATCCTGGGTGTAAACACACAAATAGACATAAATATACTAGAATGAACAAAGTTTAACAAAGTTTGAATGTGTAATCTGAAGGAGAGACTATCTTCTGTTATGCTGCTATGCAATGTATACATTCCTGAAAGATTCGGGTGTTTTTTTGTTGAACTTTTTACCCCACCCACCACACCCCCCATCTTTTGGTTGTTTGTTTTTAGGGCACGCCCAGAGATGCTCAGGACTTATTCCTAGCTCTGCACTCAGGAATTACTCCTGGCAGTACTCAGATGGAATGTCAGGGATCAAAGCTGGGTTGGCCATGTACAAGGTAGGCACTCTACCCACTGTACTATCACTCCGCCCCCCCCCCCCGAAAGATTTAACACTGCAAAACTACTCATTAAAACTAGATTTAAATACACACTTGTTTGTGGGGCAATGGGTTTTGGTGTCAAGTACTGGACCTAGGACCTCAAATATGCTAAGCAGAAGCTCTACCACTAAGCTATAATCCCTGGACAAGATTTATGCACACATTTTTTGATTCCTGCTGAGACCCCACTTCCCTTTGGTACCATTCAGTAGTGACATGGTGGTCTTATTGCAATGATGAGAAGGTCACACATATGCCTGGCAGACTTCACTAGTTACACTTAAGGACTCAACACCATGACCACCACTGCTATCTATGGTCCTTATCAGCCATATTGCTAGATCCTCCCAGCGGGGTGAGTATTGCAAGAAGTGGCCCCAGAACCTCCAGCACTCCTTGGGAAACACCCCAAAAATGTATGAAGTAATACCACACATTTGGTATTGTCACTGCCACTTTTTGCTTTTTGGGTCACATACCCAGTGATGCACAGGGAGGTTACTCCTGGCTCTGCACTCAGGAATTACTCCTGGCGGTGCTCAGGGGACCATATGGGATGCTGGGAACCAAACCCAGGTCAGCAGCGTGAAAAGGTAAATACCCTACCTGTTATACTATCGCTTCAGCCCTTCACTGCCACTTTTTTTTTCTGGTTTTGGTTTTTGGACCAAACCCAGCAGTGCTCACCATATCTGGTGTAGGGGACTGACCCAAGTCGGTCATATGCAAGACAAACACACGACCCATTGAACGGCTCTAGCCCCAGTCACTGCCATTTTCATCAAGTTTTCACCTACATCCCAAAGAAATGTTCAGCAAGTAGAGATAGGTATCGTTTAAAGCACATCAGAACTGGGGCTATATACACAGTGGGTGAGGTGAAGAACTGGCTTGCACACAGTCAACCCAGGTTCAATCTGGAACCAAAGATGGTACTCTGAACCCTGCCAGGAGTAACTGGTCCCCGAACACAGCACTACCAGGCATGGCACCAATAAATAAATAATTCACGATTATGCTTGCATACAACTTTGATGGAAAAGCAGATTCTGTAACTAGAACTTCAGGTTGAGGCACAATCGTAAAGTGATAATCAAACACCTAACCTAACTACAACCCTATAATGTGGGTTTGGATCCATACAAACTTCTGTCCGTACCCAATTATCTTCAAATAATTTCACTAAAGAATTTTTTCTGGACAAATTCTAAATGAGCTTCTTTGTTGAGGAACCAGGTTGTTTTATATTAAAATATAATAAAAGATGGGGGCTAGTTAGTATAGCAGCAAGATGTTTGCCTATGTGGCCAACCTGAGTTGAATCCCTGGTACCCCAGCTGTGTGCAAGGCACTCACTCTACCAGCTGTACTACTGCTCTGGTCCCAGATCATGATCATTCTACCGTTTCTTTCCATGGGGGGGTGGGGTTTGGGCCACACCACTGGTGCTCAAGGCTTATGCCTGGCTGAACTCACGGATCACTGGCAAGCTTAGGGAACTATATGGGAATGCCAGGTGTTGAACACAGTTGGACACGTGCAAAGCAAGGGTCCAGCCTGCTGCATTCTTTCTCTCTGGCCACCTCTACTTTTTTTTTTCTAGCTTTTTTTTTTTTGGGCCACACCTGGCAATGCACAGGGATTACTCTTGGTTCTACACTCAGGAATCACTCCTGGCAGTGCTGGGGGATCATATGGGATACTGGGTGGGCCACGTGCAAGGCAAACGCCCTACCCCCTCCAGCTCCCCGCCTCTACCTTCCATATCTAAAAATATTACTACTCGAGATACCTCATTACACCTAACTTTGTGACTGGCTTCATACACTTGGTACTTTCAAGGGTCATTCAATGTTGTAACATGTCAGCACTTTCTCATTTTTGACTCATATTCAATTATATGTACAATTTTTGTACATACATTTTACTTATTCATTACCCTATCAATAGGGCATCTATATTGCTCCTACATTCTAGCTAGTGTGAATAGTACTACTATAAACATCAGACACAAATATGTTCAACAATCTGATGTATTTTCAATAGATCCAGAGAAATAGTACAATGGGTAAAGTGTTTGCCTTGTACACAGCTGACCTGGATTCAATATCCAGTGCCTCATACAGTACCCCCCCCACCAAAAAAAAAGAGCTCTAAGGCCCAAGTTCACATGTGGCTGTTCTGGTAAACTATTTTAGCTTACACTACAAAGCAGGTGGTCCAGAGTTCCTGAACTACTCATCCTCCAGGTCTCTGGGCATTTTTTCTTTCTTCTTTATTGGGGCCACACCCAGCAGTGCATATGCCATATGAGGTGTCAGGGATCTAACTGATTGGCTGAATGCAAGGCCTTACCTGCTAAATTATGGTCAGGACCTCAGTTTTAAAGCTAATCAAAACTAAGGACAAAGGGTCTGGAGAGGTAGTACAGTGAGCAGGGCTGTTAGCCATGCAAGGAGCAACCCATGTATTATTCTCAGCATCCACATGGTATCCCAGAGCCTGCCAGGAATAATTTCTGGCAGGGCAGAGGTAATGCCTAAAATGGCAGGAGTAATGCCTAAAGACCACCAGTATTACAAAAAAACAAAAAAACAAACAAACAAACAAAAAAAAAACCAAAGAACTAAAGACATAAAAAGGACAAAGGGTAAGGTGCTTAGCCTGTATGAGGCTGAGGCTGACCCTCAACACAAACAGCCCACCTCCTCCCCAAGCACAGCCATGGGTCACTTCTGAATACAGAGTCAGAAAAGTCCTGACCACTTAATAGGATTGGACCAAATAAAGAATGTGGGCACATAGGTCAGAAAGATAGCTCAATGAGCTGAACAAGTTTTTTGCATTTGGGAGGCCTGGGTCTGATACAGGATGCCACACGATGATCTGAGCATTATCACAAAAAGACAACAGAGCAGTACCAGAAGTAATCTAAAACCAAACCAAACCAAAAAAAAAAAAAAAAACCCTCACAAAGCAAGAAAGATAACTCAAAGGGCTGATGCACTTGCTTTGCATACAAAAGACCCCCACTCCAAGTCCCCAGCACACCATCCTCAAATGGTACGGATATTGGGCCCCTGCCCCACACCAACAAGATCATCGTATCAGATTAATGAATGAAGATCAGCAAATAGCGTTGGGGAAGGGGGTGGTGAAGAGGAGTTCCCAGGGGCCATTCCTGACAGGACTGGAAGGCATGCTGCAAGAAGACAAGTGCCCTAGACCCTGTACCATCTTTTCTAGACCCCATACCATCTTCTTAGCCTGAGCGGTTATGTAATCTTTTGGGTGTTTTGTGGTGGTGGTTTTAGACCACACGCGTACTCCTGGCTCTGCAACTCAGGGATATCTCCTGGCTGTGCTCCGGGGCCATATGGGGGTGGCAGTAATCAGAAGCAGGTTAGAATATGCAAGATAAAAGTCTTCCCTGCTGTACTATCACTCTGGCCCCAAGAAATAACTCTAAAGAACCTAAAGCCATACCCATTCAGAAATAATTCAGCTGCTGGGCGTTCTCGCTTTACCTTGCATACCATCGCAAAAACAGTTAAGTCCCAACAGATGAAACAAACCACTTGTGGTGTGTTCGAAATGACAAAATCCAGGGGCTGGAGAGACAGTACAGCATTTGCCTGGCACAGGGCAGAGCCAGGTTTGATCCTCCGCATCCTAGGAGTCACCCTGAGCATAGCTGGGTGTGACCCCAAAGGTGAAAAAAGCTAATGAAACCGAAGAGTACAGCAGTTAGGCCTTTGTCTTGCACGCAGACAGCCCAATTCGCTCTCCAACACCACATATTGTACCAGAGCCCGCCAAGGGTGACCCCTGAGCACAGAGCCAGGAGTAACCCCTAAAAATCAAAAACTGAGATGTCCTCTCAGCTCAACATTCTTCCACAAGCGTGAAGGGAAGCTAACTTCTCAAGTGCACAAGGACCACTTAAGGAACACAAGGGTCCTTCAAATGTCAGAACTGGGACCGGAGTGATAGCGCAGCGGGGAGGGCGTTTGCCTTGCACGCGGCCGACCCGGGTTCGATCCCCGGCATCCCAGAGGGTCCCCCGAGCACTGCCAGGAGTCATTCCTGAGTGCATGAGCCAGGAGTCAGCCCTGTGCGTTGCCGGGTGTGACCCAAAAAGCAAGAAAAAAAAAAAAAGAAAACATTAGATTGGGGCTGGAGCGATAGTACAGTGGGTAGGGCGTCTGCCGTGCATGTGGCTGACCCGGGTTCGATTCCCAGCATCCCATCTGGTCCCCCGAGCACCGCCAGGAGTCATTCCTGAGTGCATGAGCCCGGAGGAACCCCTGTGCATCGCCGGGTGTGACTCAAAAAAAAGCAAAAAAAAAAAAAAGTCAGAATTAACGTAGCCGGACCAAAAAAGATGGGGAAAAAAGACACGTCTCTCTGCTCGATTTCACGCGATCCCCTTCGCGGTTCAACACCCGACGTCGGTGTGTCTCTGCGCTCCCCGGCCTCCCACACCCTGCGCGCACCACTGCCCGTTCGCCCAGCAGCCGATCGCGGATGCCAGCGCGGGGACGGCCCACCCGAGGCCGGGGGAAGGCGCGAAGCCGTCTTCTGCGTCCTGCAGCCCCGTCTCCGGCCAACGGTCCTGCAGCTCCCGCCCAGCCGGAGGCCGAAGGGCACGGGGCGCGCCGGGCGACCCCTCGCCGCGCACGGCCGCAGAAACCCCCGGCCCGGGCCGCGCCGCCGCGCCACGAACAATGGAGTTTTCCCGCCTCCTCGGGGCCCCGCCCCCCGGCTCCGGCGACGGCCGCGCGGAGGCGCGCGAAGCCCCGCCCACAGGGGAAAGCCCCGCCCCCGGGCCAAGCCCCGCCCCGGCCAAGCCCCGCCCCCGGCCTCCTTCCTCGTGCAAGGCGAGGGCTGGTTTTTTTTCTTTTTTTTTTTGGCGCCAAATCCGCTCCTCTCCCGGGCCGTCCGCGGACCCTCCTGCGAGCGCGCGCCGCCGCGGGGGCAGGGACTCCCGAGGGCCCGGGAGCGGGCGGCAGGCCGGCCGCACGGGCCCCGCCTCCTTCCCGCCGCCGCCGGCCTCGGGCCCGGGAAGGCTGAGGCGCGGCGCGGCGCGGCGAGGGGAAGGCGGCCGAGACCGTCGCCGCGGCGCCCCCGGCAAGATGGCGGCCGCGGAAAGCCGGGCAGGGGGCGCCGGGCGGCCGCCCAGGGGCGAGGCGGGCCGCGGGAGGGGAGCTCCTCCCGCGACGGGCCCCCCGGCCGCGGCCGCTGCCCACTGGGCGCGGGCCCTCCCCTCGCCGGACGGTCGCGCCCCGCGGGGCGGCCGGTGCCGCCTCGAGCGCCCCCAGCGCCCCGCTTACTTGTCGGCCGGAACCAGCTCCGCGTCGACGGCGGCGGCGGCGGTGGACTCCGCGGCCATCGTTCCCCTGAGGAAGCGGACCCGCGGGAGACGGCGCAGCCTGCGAGGAAGAGGAGAACCGCGGAGCGCCGGACGCCCGGCCGGGGACAAAAATGGCAGATTGGAGACCCCGCGCCTCGGGGGCCCTCTTATATAGCAGCAGCCTTCGCCCCGCCCATCCACTTCCGGATCCGCCCCCGGGTTTAAAGGGCCAGGACCCGACCCGCGAGCACCGCCCCCTTCGGTGTCCGGGGCTCGGGCTTGCCTCTACCTCTCTGCTCCCCTTCCCGCAGCAGCGACGTCCTGTTTCCCCGAAAGGTCGCGGGGTGGCGGGGGGAGCTGGAATCTTGGTGCTGTAGCTCCTGGCGGGGGTCGGCCGCCGTCTCCCACGTACGAGGAGACCGGTGGAGCGTTGCGCGTTTGCGGAGCAGCCGGAGGGGCGGAGGTGGGCCGGCTGTCCTTCCGCTCGGCTGCGGTAACGGATGGGGACGTCGGAGGCGAGCGCCGGCCCCGCATCAACGGCTGGAACCGATGATCCCGGAGGCCGCCTCGCGGCTCCGAGCCTCGGCAACAGTGACGCAAGGGAAGGCGAGTCCCGGATTGGCTCCCTCCGGAGCCAGCGCGCCCGGTTCAAAGCTCGGCGGGGCTGCCGCGAGGCGCGCCTGGCGCCTGGCTCCGAACCCAGCACCCGCTTCTTCTGGCCCGGCGACGAGCCGACTCAGCCTCCGGCTCTGCACCCCCCTCTGCAAGTCTGCGCTGCCAGCCCCGGGCTTTTTCCGTCCCCTCGGGGCCTGCGTGTCTCGTTTCCCAGCATCGCGCGAGGGACATCGCGCGCAAGCAACACTTGAAAGCTATTAGCCTCTCCTTTATTTGCACTTCATTTGGAGGGAGGTTGAGCCGCCCCGAGCGGCGCTCGGGGCTCCCTCTGGGCTCTGAGATCAGGGATCGTTCCTGGCGGGCTCGGGGGACCACGCAGGGTGCCGAGGATCCAACCCAGGTCGGCCGCGTGCAAGACGAGCGCCCTGCACGCTGTACTACCGCGCTGGTCCCCTTGGCCATTTTATTTATTTATTTATTTATTTTTGGGTCACACCTGGCGGTCACAGGAGTTACTCCTGGCTCTGCACTCGGGAGTTACTCCTGGCGGCGGTCAGGGGACCATAAGGGATGCTGGGAATCGAACCCGGGTCGGCCGCGTGCAAGACCAGCGCCCTGCACGCTGTACTACCGCTCTGGTCCCCTTAGCCATTTTATTTATTTATTTATTTATTTATTTTTGGGTCACACCTGGCGGTCACAGGAGTTACTCCTGGCTCTGCACTCGGGAGTTACTCCTGGCGGTGCTCAGAGGACCATATGGGATGCTGGGAATCGAACCCGGGTCGGCCGCGTGCAAGGCAAACGCCCTACCCGCTGTGTTATCTCTCCAGCCCCCCTCCCCTTAGCCATTTTAACCTTAAGAACAACGCTCTGGGGCCGGAGCGATAGTACAGCGTTGGCCTTGCACACGGCCGACATGGGTTCTGTCGCCGGCATCCCATATGGTTCCCCCTAAGCATCATCGGAGTAACTCCTGAGCATCTCTGGGTGTGCCTCTTTGCCCCGCCCCCCCCCAAAAAAAAGAGAATAATGTCCTGGTCCTTAGCAATAGTATAGCGGGTGAGGCGCTTGCCTTGCAGGCACCCGACCACGTTTTGATTCCTGAGCCCAGAGCCAGAAGTCAGCTCCGAGCACGACCAGTGTTGCCCGAAATCAAATAGAGGAAGGCTACTAGTGATGGTCGTGTTGTCAGCCCCCCTTGGTAGAAATAGAAGCCAAGGTGCAGCGATGTTGTGATTTGGTGAGAAAGTCAGTTCTGGAAAGCAGCGTGTGCCTGCTTTCTTAAGATGACTGAGTGAAAGCTAACTGAAATAGTCTTGGCTCTTCCTTACACCTGAAGCCTCTTCCTCTGTAGCATCCCTCCATGGACGGTTTTCCCTACAGTAATCGGAACAGGACAGGAATTTATTTCATCCAGGTTAGGATACATTGGGATATATTCCTCCAGAGGATTCTTATTCCTGCTTGTCAAGACTCCAGCAGGTTGAAATCTTGGGGGCAGGGCCCCCAAGATTTGTTCTTAGGACTGGATAGAGCTTAAGGGGCACTGCCTGGAGCAATCCCTGAGCTCAGAGCCAGAAGTAAGCCCTGAGCATCACCAGGCGTGGCCCCCCAAACAAAATAAAAATAAAAAATATCTCTTTTAAAAATTAAAGAACAAATAAAACTAAACTAAAAATCCAAGTTGCAAAATTAAACAAAGGGTTGAAGAGATCTTTCAAAGGACGGCTCTGCTTACTTTGCATGGGGGAAACGTGGGTTCAGTCCCTGAAATCACATGGTCTTACCAGCACAGCTAGCTGGAACTTACACCGGAGCACCTCACCAGGAGTATTCCCTGAGCACCATGGGTGTTGGCCCAAAGATCACGATGATCATGACCATTCTGTTATTCGTCGATTGCCTCGAGCAGGCCCCAGAACCGTCTCCTTCGTCCTAGCCCTGAGATTTTTTAAAAAGTGCCATATTCAAGGCTCTTTCAGAGTTAGGAGAATGAGACCCTTCATTGTTACTGGTATTTGGCATATTGGGTACGCCACGGGGAGTTTGCCAGACTCTGCCCTGTGGGCAGGTGACATTCGGTAGCCTGCCAGGTTGTCCAAAGTAGGAATGAGATGATAAGATGCATTTGCGCATTTGCGGCCGCACGCTTCCGGGAGCTGGGTTTTATAGTCTCTGGGTCTTGGCTGTTGATGGGACTACATGGCACCAGGGGGCTAGTTGGCCCAAAGAACAAACAGAAAAGTATAAATGCATAAATGCAATGAATTTGGAGAAGGAGGGATAGATAGCTGAAGACTGGAATATATGCTTTGAATTCAGGACTGAATTCGATCTCTGGCACTGCATGGTCCCCTGAGTATCACTGGGAGTGACTTCCGAACAGTAACGCAGAAGTTACCCCTAAACACCACTGGATAAACTTTAAATTGTATTATAAAGCTGTAGCAATTAAAACAGTGTGGGGCCAGAGCTATAGTACAGCGGGTAGGGGGTTTCCCTTGCATGCGAAAGACCCGAGTTCAATCCCGGCATCCCATATGGTCCCCCAAGCACCACCAGGAGTAATTCTTGAGTGCAAAGCCAGGAGTAACCCTCGAGCATCGCTGGGTATGACCCAAAAAGAAAAAAAAAAACAACAGTGTGGTACTGGAATAAGAACAGATCCTCAGATCAATGGAATAGAATAGAAAACCCAGAGGCAGACCCTCAGGTGTATGGTCACTTAATCTTTGATAAAGGAGCAAAAAATATGAAGTGGAGCAAGGAAAGCCCCTTCGGCAAGTGGTGCTGAGAACACAGTCAGTCACATGCATAAAGTTGAACTCAAACTTCCTTTCTAACGTCATGCACAAAAATCAAATCAAAAGAAATTAAAGACCTAGATATCAGACCTGAATGCATAAGTTACATGGAGAAAAATATAGGCAGAGCACTGGGACCAGACATTGGGAGCAGAGAGATAGTGTACAGGGGATAAGGCACTTGCCTTGCATATAACCAACCTGGGTTCAATCCCCAGCATCCCATGTGATCCCCACAGAGGCTAGAATGATGGTATAGTGGGTAGGGTATTTGCCTTGCACACAACTGACCGGGTTCAATCCATGGCATCCTGAGCACCACAAGGAGCAGTTCCTGGGTGTAGAGCCAGGAGTAACCCCTGGCCATCACTGGGTGTGGCCCAAAAAGGAAAAGAAAAAATTATCCCCCAGCATCACTGTAGGATAACAATTGATTTGTCCTTTCTCCCTTGCCACAAGGAACTTAGGTTTATCAGGTTATACCCAACACAGTGCTCCCGAGTCAATCCCATTCCTTTGTTTATCTGTAACCACTTCTCTATGCTCTCTTCCCCAACCAGATAATCAGCTTTTCCCCCTAATCAGACTCTGTTAATTTGTAAGGTCAGATCCTTCTAGGACACTGAACTTGTAAGTTAATGTTGCCTTTCTCCTCTCCTTATGTCTTATAAATAGTTTAAAGCAATGTCCTTTTTGTATAGATACAGGAAGACAGTTAATATTGTGCTTTTTAATTTAGGATTTAATTGGCTTTGAACATTATTCACTCCCGGGCATCTGCTTTCTCAACGTAAGCCTCAGTTGCCCTCACTTCCTAACACCCCAAAAGCAGGGTCCCGACGAGGGACTGAATGGACCCAGGGTAAGCTGTGAGCTACCCTGGCATCGAAATGGACCAGGCCAAAGAAGTGCCACGATTCTTAACTCTAAGTTAAGAGCTTGATCATAGACAAATGTTGTCATGATCCAAAAGTAATGACGAGACTAGGACCCTGCTAGGGAGAGGAAAGACTATCTGGCCTGAGCACTGTAGTCTGAGATCGAGATGGGCCTAGGAGAGCAATTCTATAAGCTTAATGTATTTCTTACTGTGTCCATACAAAATGATTCATATTATGAATGCTTCTATGTTTGATGGACAAGGAGAGGAGAAACATACCCATGGGATTCCACTCTAGGGTGAGTCGACCTGCTAATGAGAATCTGTCCTAGAAGCAGCTTTCCCTGAGGGAAAGAACTCTACCCCTATTAATTGTGACCACACCTATGTGTAATTGTTACCCCAACCCCTCATGCTGGGGGATATAACTAGACTGCAAGAGTGGTCTGGGGGATCAAGATCCAGACTCCAGAAGAAGGAGAAAGGGGATCCAGATCCAGATTCCAGAGCCAGAAGGAGAATGAAGGGAGATCGAGGAGGAGAATGAAGGAGCCCGGGGGAGGAAGAAGCAGGAGGAGAATCGAGGAGGATGGAGAGGAAAGTGGAACACACTGCCACTGACGCCAACCAGCCTGGCCCTCGTTTCCTTCCTTCCTTTGTCTACCCATCGCCATACCTCCCCGGGGTGGAGGAACCAGCGTGAGTCTACTGAAGGGTGGGCGGCGGGAGAGAAAGACCGCTGCTGTGATTCCTGAATTCAGAGCCACCAGGAGTATTCCCTTAGC